GTTCATTAATGTGTTCAATACTTGTATTATATTAACTTGTTCACGAACAAGACAAAAACGATATGTATAATTGTATTCCTTCTGTATGTTTTGACACATTATTTGTTTCATATTACATTTATTTTGTTCTGTCATCCGATCAAAATAGGTCATTATCTATACCATCAATCTGTTCTTTCTCATGCAAGATCGATTTAAAGAATAGAAACGTAGGTTCTCTAAATCTTCGCAAAATCAGCTATTGTATTTCAAAACCCGTGATTTAAAAATGATACTTATAATCAAGAGATTGAAAGATTCTGCTTGAAATAAGATTATAGGGCGTTTATAAATATGTCATACGAAACAAACAAACAATTGCAAATTAAAGATATTACAAAAATGATAGTCGTATTGTCGGGAGCCTGCATCATCAAAACGTGTCGGTAGATGGAACAATTCGAAATCTGTTCCAAACATGAAATTCGATCGAATATTTCTTCGCGAAGAAACTGTATTAGTGGTGCCTGTGGTGGCATTTGTCGTAACAATTTGTTGTCGTCAATTGTTCGTGACGTTTTGACGTTTCATATTTGTTAGCTAGCGCTAGTAAAGTCTTATGTTTTAATGTGCACTGTATATAGTTATAAGGCCTGAACACGTCATGTTCACATTGGGTGTTATATAGCATACGGATATTATAGTACATGTAACTTTTACAAGCACTTTTTTTAGTTGTACAGCTCTTTGAGCAGCTAATAGTTGTTGCGCTCATAGGCGGCTATTCCCAATTACCGGGCATTATTTGTTATTGTATCATTAGTTAAGTTTATTAATCTATTCATGTTTTCTATTTATTTATTTAGTTTTGGAGAGGGGGATGTCGTATTACGAATTCATGACCCTTATACATAATGACCATATGTTCTCAAATTACGAATAGCGGTCTTCATGAATAGTTGTCCAATGAATAGCGGTCCTTATAACTAGCGAGCGGAGCCCTCCTGATGGGCCTCTGCCATTTTGGTCCGGCCGTTCACTTCGCCGCCCTCCCCCTCCCTCACACACACACACACACACACACACACACACAATACGCAGCCTTAATGTGTAGCTAAACAAGAATCTATTGCAAGTCGGACAATTATAGCGATCAAACAATAGCCTTGCTCGGCCGCGTGAAATCCTGCCACGGCATTCTATGTTTTTACCTTTAGAGCGAACTTTTCTTTTGTATTCGCTCCATAGAACTCTACTTTATCTTACAGCGAGGTGAAATGAAAAGAGCGTCATCATGAGTAGATCTTTTGTTTGAAGTTATCCTTCTTCTCCCTAGTTAAGTCAAACCTTCAATTTAGGCCTATCCATAAAAGGTAACTTCCTGTACCGTTCGCTTTTTTTTTTTTTTACCAGACTGCTATATATGAAGCATGTGTATGCTCTGAATTAGGCAAACAGGGGACCGGCGGGTTTAAGACCTCTCCGAATGAAATGTAATGTTGAGTTATGCCTTACCATAGCATATTGACTTGGTTTCTAACCAGGGAGCTCCCGGTTACGAGATGCTCTACTCTAGTCCACTGGGCTATAGCGCCTCCCTCCTTTTAAAAAGATCTTTTAAAATTTGCCGTTTTTTTTTTTAGAATAAGAATCAAAACATGTTTGGTATGTTTTTGTATCTGTGCATTATGATTTCAAAATTTCACTTTCGCCACGTAATTATACAAATCTACGAATAAATGATTCGTTAGTGCAGAAATCAATGTTTGTATTTGTGCCCCTGCCCGTTTTGCGATCATTTAGTACATATAGCGCAAAGTAGAAGTCGAATGATAAATTATCACCATGAACTGATTAATGTTTTGTATTGCATTTCCAATTGCTGCTCAACTTTATCACCATCAGGCTACGCTTTTTTTTACATCTTCATGACACACATGTTTTATAATCTCGATATAGTTCCCGGACTCTTTTTTTCTTCTATTTATTCCACTTTTAAAAAGAGCTATGGAATTATTATGATTTAAAACGCCTTTTGGACGGGCAATTTTCGAAGGCAAATCTCGGGCGTGAAATCCTGCCACGGCATTTTATTTTTTTTTTCCCTGAGGCCACTTAACTAATATACATGTTTAGTGTCCCCGCCCGCTTTCTTTTTGGGGGCCGCCTCCTATTTTTGGGGGAGAGGAATTTTTATTTTTTTAAATTTTTTTAATTTTAATTTTTAAAAATATTTTTTGTTTTTTTTTAAAGAAAAAAACATGAAAAACACTGCTAAAATGGATCTATTACTTTTTAAAAATTAAAAAATGTCGGTGGCCATCTTGAAACAAAGCCCGAATGTCAGGGAAAATGTACCGAGCGGCCATTTTGAGCGGCCATTTTGAAAGAAAAAAAAAAGAAAAAAAAATCGAGGGCCTCCTTCCTATTTTTCGAAAAAAACAGGACGCTAATAAAACATCTTTTATTTTTTATTTGGCCTTAGAGCGAACTTTTCTTTTGTATTCGCTCCGTAGAACTCTACTTTATCAAACTGCGAGGTGAAATGAAAAGAGCGTCATCTTGAGTAGATCGTTTGTTTGATGTTATCTTTCTTATCCCTAATAAGCAAACCTTCAATTTATTAGAACCAAGTCATGGGAGGAGAAAAAAACAACAAGATTTGACTGACAAAATATAAATTCTTCCAAGCTCAGGCTGTGGCGATGTGCAACGCGTAGCGTGAATATGAATGACGGGAGAGAAGGATAATTCCTTTGTCCACTATTACGACGCTAGAATCATATCGCGATGTGGGAATTATACAAATATGTTGACAATCATTCAAATTAAAAACATACACAAGCGACCCAAACAGTAATCAATTTGCCGACTATAACCGCATACATGTAGTCATTCACATCATTCGTCTTTTATTTTTTGTTGTTGGGGACAATTAAGCTCGCAATTAAACAACCATTAATCGTACATAGTCATCTTTATTTCACATTTCATACAGTCGTCACAAAAATTAAAAGGAGGCGTATTAAACCCAACAAAAATAAAATCATAATTTATTCTGATCAAGATGAACGAGTGTGTTGATTGCCCCCCAAAACAAAGACGATCCCACCAGACAAGTTCATGCTTTGCTGTAGCAATGTACATCGCAAAGCTTCGCCACAATGATTGGAAAGATAATACCCCGCCCGTTACGACGCAAAACGGCGCGAGAAGAATAGATCGCGACGCGAGAAGAATACATCATTTTTTACAAACAATGGAATGTTTATCAGAACGAAAACCGGAGGAGGGGAAGACAGGCTTTGGCCGACAAATACTTTCTGTATATCAAGTTTAAGCTGTACCCCGCATCACGAGCGTGAACAATGACAGGAGAGATAACCTTCCACCGCCTGGTGGGGCGCAAAAGGGCGCAAGAAGAATAGAGCGGGTTTATACCAACAATAGACAGTTTCTATTCATATGCAAGAATCAGGTGAGGGTGACTATTGCGCCCCTTCGCGCCCCTTTGCGCCTCAATGCGTCTCTTGGGACGCGACTGTTCTATTCATCGCGCCCCGACGCGTCCGGGCACAGTCGCAACTTTGGAAGGCTCCCCTTATAGGCCAATGCTATTTCTAATAAAATATATATATAACTCGTAAGAGATTGGTATATTTTATTCGAATCTTACATGTCGGAATTAAAAGAAATAACACAGGAATGCGTGAGTGTCATCATTTGATGTTTAACTTTTATTTTGAGCAAATTTCATACATTCTCATTAGACGTATTTGGAATACTGAGGTAGCCTTCTTGGTTTTTCGTGATAGTGTAGACAATTTCTTTTTGATTGTTAACCATATTGTGTATGTTGCAGCAGGGCGTCATTAATTTATTATAAACCAGTTTTTTTAAAAACTGAATGAACTACCTTGCTTTTTTAATAGGACATAAATAAATGAATTAATTAATTAATAACTTGCCAAAATAAATCACCTTTACTATATGTATCAAAAAATATTCTGTCCAAAGCAGATTAGCGGCAAAATGGAAATGAAAGGAAACGGTGTTCTTAACTCTGATACCCTCAATTGCAATTTTTTTCTATTTTCACCTCTTCATTCTATCACATTTTGGAAATATGTCAACCTCCAAATCACAAACCGCTTTGCGTGGATTAATACATGATAGTAGTAATTAACTTTAAGGAATTTTCCTTGTTTCTTTTGTTAGATCAATGAAGGATTAGCATGATTGGTGGGAGATCTTACAAATATAAAAACCTTCAATTTCATTCTGAAGCGAGAGGAAGAAGATCATTACTATTGAAATTATTGCATTTGAAACAACAACAAAATTGTGTTGATTCTAATATTACTGGTTATAAATCCTTTCTGTTCAGCATTGCTCTTGATCGGTGGTTTACTCGTGTGATGAAAGTTTGTGCATTAAAATAATAAAACTGATTAAAAAAATTATTATCTTTCAGCCAAGTAACCCTTTTAAACACTAAGTCAAAATAAAAACATCTAATATAAATATAGAGCAATGCATGACCATCACAAAATGGTATATTATGACTTGTTTACCAACAACAATTCTGACTACATTGTACATAATTTAAAACAGCAAGCAGTTTTAGGCTCCATCATAAGCAGTACTTAACCACGTCTAAAACTCGATCACTACTTGGATATATATGATATGCAAAACAAAGAAAATAACATAATAGCTTAGCATTTATGTATAAAGACATTGATTACGTTTTTACCAAATTATGTAGATAATAATAAAAAATAAAAATAGATTATAAAACATAGTACCATATAAAAAGGAACTCATAATAATAGAGCCCAATTCAATCATTCATGAATAATCATTACACACAATCTGTGACTCAAGCAGTGGCGGATCCAGGGGGGCGGGGGGCCTGGCCCCCCCCCCCCCAGGAAAAAAATGTGTAAAAACACGTGAGTTTTTACCTTTTTGGGGGGATAGGCCCCCCCGTGGTGCCCAAGGGGGGGGGGTGCAAATTTTTAAATTTTTAAGGGCAAAAAAAAAAAAAAATGTGCTCACTACTGCCAATGTACAAATAATACTTACCTTATCTACAAATGTAGTTACATATCACTATCTATCTTCCTAACCATAAAATACATTTTGCACTCAGTAACAACAAATCACTAGCATTGTTAGGCATAAAATGTATATTCTTAAAACCATACTTGAACAAAAGGGCATACAAGTACATGTATTTACAGTCCCAGCAACAGAAAACAGAGACCCACTTTACATAATATTCTCTACTTTGAAAGGCATTTGAGGCAGTGTTGAAGTACATGTATTATCTAACCGGAATCTCTTTGGTATTTTATGTCCATATAGTATGGCATTTAAATTACGTTTTGTCCAAACCCAATCAAATATACATATTTATATTCAAGTATTTACAGCTTTAGCAACAGAAAACAGAAACAGAAACCCATTTAAAATGAATATCCTATATATCTTCTATTTCTTTTAAAGTAATGGTAAACTTTTATATACATGATTTGAAACCAGAATGAAGACTATCAATCAATGAAAAAACAAATTATATACATATAGTTCTAAAATTGGAACCAATTGGATTGGTCCCTAAAATGTCATTGAAATACAACATACTCCATTGCTCTATCTTATCTCCGACAGAGACTAATAACTTTCTCCCATGGCAAGACATTTATTTAAATTTGGCACTCTTGACCCTGCACTAAACAGCGACTAACTGCTCTTAAAGGGACTATGTCCCATTTGCAGGCCAAAAAAATGAAAAAGTTAAATTCCAACTGCATTTGAAATATAATACTAATTTAGAACTTCCCTAAAAAAGGTGGGGCTTGAAAATGTCTTCAAGTGGGAAAATAACAACTATTAGTTGTCAAATCGACTTTAGGGCTATAGAGCCCAAAAGTAATAGTCTTGATTTTCAGACAATTGTACAGAATGGTCATACGTTTTATGCTGCGCAAAGATTCAATCAGTTTAATCTTGGCCATCACAAGAAGTGGGTTATTGATGTAGATAAATGCTCATGTACCCTTTACAACTCTTTTCATGTATGTTATTACCAAAGAAGAAAAAAGCCAGTCAGTCACTCAATAGTGTCTGACAGCGATGTCTAGCAAGTAAACGGTTTTCCTTGCATTAATTGAATATGAGGACACTGCTAACGTTTAAATTTCACAGATAGGACAAACATGACATATTCATAATTCCTGCAAAGTTCTACAGCATTTGAGATTGGCTGCAAAAGGGACATAGTACCTTTAAACCAGAAACTTTTGTGTATGGTTAACAACTAAATTATTAATACCCTTACAACTTTTTGTTGGTACATAGGTAAAAAAATTGATTTATGTTTCTCGAGAATGTGATATATTAAAGCTTACATCTAAAAGAATTCAACAAAGAGCCTCATTCTTTTCAACAAGTCCACCTTTCATTCTTGAGTTACCTAAAACACACAACAACAAAAAACAATAAGGAAAGGTTTGTAAATTTCAGAATCGCATAAGTTCTGTTCCACAAATTGGTTGAATCACTATCGCCATACAAATGTGGAGGTGTCGTAGTATAGAGGTGGATTAACTTGACTCTCATTCCAAGGGTGGAGGGTTCAAATCCAAGCATGGTACTAGCATCCTTTGGCAAGACATTAACCCATATCTGCCACTCTCCACCCAGGTGGGAATGGGTACCTGGCAACTGATGGGGTATTAATAATTGCAGGGCCTCGAGACGATGAACGGCATTAACGCTGGTGAAGCTAATACCATGGGTACACAAATTATTATTACCCAAATTATCATTATTAACACTGAATCATTACATTTCAATCAAATTAATTTTTTTCCTATAGAAATATGTGTCCTTTCATGTTGCGAAAGATTCCGGCTGTACAGTATCTCATTCTACTTGCATTATGCAGAGTAGATCCTCTTTCTTCGGCTACATCTGTCGGTGATGTTTTCCGAAGCCTTCTCCTATGTTGAGTGTAGACGTCGCCTATACCACATGTATGCAAGATATAAAGAAAGAAACTTTCTGAGGCATTTATACACCATGTATAGTGTATTTGTATACTACACAAATTGTCATAACCGAAGGGATTGTCTTTGTTTAAATGAATGCGTAAATATGACTTCATTTTTCTCACACCTACTTCACCATGGACAGCTCATAAAATTGACAATTAGGAAAACATATATCTTTTTGTTTCTTAATATGTCTGTTTAAGCGAAAAATAATGTATCATCTTTAATTTTTTGCCTTAATTTTTTGTCCTCTTAATCTAAATGACTTACGAATGTGGTGGGTCGATCAATGGTTCACTGCCTCTTAAATTAACCACATGTACTTGACTACAAATACTACAAATAAAAATGCTGTATCTATGGACCTCCCTCCCTGCCCATGTACGTTAAACATCTTGGAAGTGATGGCTAAATTAGATACATACCGTCTCGGAGTTCTGTCTGTAGAACGAAGGCTATGCCAGTTACTGATCTTAGAACTGCCTCCAACCTCAGATAGAGATCGTAGGAGTTGAGGCCTGAAAGAAAGATAATGGGTCAACTAGCTCAGGCTTATTGAAATTGAATCAAGGACTGATATACAATCCTCATTTAGAAGTATTTCTTGTTGACAAGCGATCAGAGCATTTAAAAAATTTTTGTGTGTGTGGGTGTGTGTGTGTGTTACAAAGCCCATTATGTAATTCCTAATTCTTTGGTATAAACAAGGCCATTTGTAAAAGCATATTACATGTGTTCTGTTTCCTTCATATACAGTGCGTCCCAGATAAAACGAAACCGAGAATTATCGATGTTTTATCATAACTTGATCACAATTATAATTGATAAATGACACATATTTAGAAAGCCAACTTTCTAGAAATGTGATTTTCTCTTTGAAATTCAGATATCGCCTGCCAAACGACTTTTCGGTTCCCTCTCTTCAAATTGATTTTAATCACTCATGCATGAAATATGCATCAAATGAAAGAGGAGGATCTAAGCTTTCCAAATATGTGTCATTTATCAATTATAAATGTGATCAAGTTATGATAAAACATTGATAATTATCGGTTTCATTTTTTCCGGGACGCACTGTATAAAAATTTCACAATACTGGTCATAACTCAGATCTCAATGCAGCCATGGGTGGAGTCCTTCGACTTTGTAAATTAGAAGAAAAAAGACGGTGTAAGGCTTAATAAATCACCAGCTTGAGATCAAGCCAAAATAACTCTAATGTTTGAATCTAATAAACAAAATATCTGCTGATACTTATCTGAGAATATTGTGTGCAGAAAAGCTAATAACAAAGACTTGCAATCAAGTAAATTATTGAATTGACGGGAGATCGAGGAGAAGGGAGGTTTCTCCATTCCATCACCAACCCTCCATCACTGTCCCAAAATAATGTATCATCTTTAATTGTTTGCCTTAATTTTTTGTCCTCTTAATCTAAATGACTGACGAATGTGGTGGGTCGACCAATGGTTCACTGCCTCTCAAATTAACCACATGTACTTGACTACAAATACTACAACACAAAATGCTGTAACTATGGACCTCCCTCCCTGCCCATGTACATTAAACATCTTGGTATTAAGTGATGGCTAAATTAGATACATACCGTCTCGGAGTTCTGTCTGTAGAATGAAGGCTATGCCAGTTACTGATCTCAGAACTGCTTCCAACCTCAGATAGAGATCGTAGGAATTGAGGCCTGAAAGAAAAAATAATGGGTCAACTAGCTCGGGCTTATTGAAAATGAGCCCATTTTGTAATTCCTAATTCTCTGGTATAAACAAGGCCATTCATAAAAGCATACCACATGTGTTCTGTTTCCTTCATATCTGACAATTTCACAATACTGGTCTCTTTTAACGGCAGAGAATGATGAATCTGGGATAGACAATAAACTAACAGAATTTCTTTGTCAAAAAAGAAACAAACGCATATCATGATGGTATGCAAGTTCCACTTACCGTTTTTTTTGTGAAGCATCATCACAAGGAGCACTCTCAGTGCTGGCAAGTGTAGCAGGGTGGGAGAAATCATCAGAAAAAGAGGGTGTAACCTTCTCAGATCTCAATGCAGCTATGGGTGGAGTCCTTCGACTTTAATCAGAAGAACAAAAAACAGGGTAAGGCTTAAAGTAGATATTCATTGATTTGACAAGGTTATCAAACTTCAATGCTTGGAAACATTTGAAGTAATGATTAGTATAAATTACAAAATGCTTAAATACAGCCCCGGCATAGCACCTGCAGAGCTCTCCGAACGCTGCTGAGATGTGTGAGATCACAGTATGGACATGATTTGCACAAGCAGACGATGTCCCATGACATCTCACACATTTTCAGTGCCTGTGTTTTCATCTTCTCTTGAGTTCTTTCTCTTACTTCACTATCGTCAGGCTAAATGTATAATCTATTGCTTCACTCTAAACCCCGCGCATGGTTTTATTTTGATGACAAATGCAGTGATACAAAAATAAAGTAATTTGTCGCTTGTTAACAAAATAATAGACGCCATTGTATATTCAGCTGCACACACCCTGGTATGTTCGGCGTTTCAAGAGGGAATAAATGCCGTCCTTAATATCATTCCGGGGGTTTTTCAATTTGAAAGTCTGGTTTCTTTGATTGTTAATTAACCTCTATCCTGTGTATTAACAAGCAAAAGATTTTAGTTATCAGAATCGGGTCATATCCCCTTTTGAATGGTTTGACATGCCATTACATTTATATACACTAAACTCATTATAATTTGACAAATATTAGCTTTGCAATTATGTTCATTCTTTATGGGATGTCGTCTGCTTGGGCAGTATTGGTCCATATAATGACGTCATTAAAACATTGTTATTTTTCCGGCGAATCTCTTGTATATCCCAGCTGCTATGGAGGTGGTTGTATTTGTATTTATATAAATCATCCGATATGTAGTTGACCTAAACCTTGTACGATGTCCATCTGTTAGCTTACCAGTTTCTAGTGATACATTAGTTGACATAATTGTGATTTTCTTTGAATTTCTCTTTAATAAATCACCAGCTTGAGATCAAGCCAAAATAACTCTAATGTTTGAATCTAATAAACAAAATATCTGCTGATACTTATCTGAGAATATTGTGTGCAGAAAAAGTAATAACAAAGACTTGCAATCAAGTAAATTATTCAATTGACGGGAGATCGAGGAGAGGGGAGGTTTCTCCATTCCATCACCAACCCTCCATCACCCTCCTATAATAATGTATCATCTTTGTTTGCCTTCATTTTTTGTCCTCTTAATCTAAATGACTGACGAATGTGGTGGGTCGACCAATGGTTCACTGCCTCTCAAATTAACCACATGTACTTGACTACAAATACTACAACAAAAAATGCTGAATGACTATGGCCATGTATGTTGGACATCTTGGAAGGAATGGCTTAATTAGATACATACCGTCTCAGAGTTCTGTCTGTAGAACGAAGGCTATGCCAGTTACTGATCTCAGAACTGCTTCCAACCTCAGATAGAGATCGTAGGAATTGAGGCCTGAAAGAAAGATAATGGGTCAACTAGCTCAGGCTTATTGTATTCATTCTCACAAAAAAGATAGATAAAATTAAAATGAAATTGAATCAAGGACTGATATAATCCTCACGTAGAAGTATTTCTTGTTGACAAGCGATCAGAGAATTTAAAAATGTTCGTGTGTGTGGGTGTGTGTGTGTTGCAAAGCCCATTCTGTAATTTCTGATTCTCTGGTATAAACAAGGCCATTCATAAAAGCATCACATTTGTTCTGTTTCCTTCATGTATGACAATTTCACAATACTGGTCTCTTTCACAGAGAATAATTAAAGATTAAAGGTTCAAATTTTATTGTCCAGGTTAAAACACACAGAAAGTTGGCCTACACTGGCAGGAGATAAGAATACATAAATGTGCACAAAACAAAAACATCAATTAGATTAACAAACAGTTGAATACATTCTGACAAAAGTAAAGACCTACGCTATGGAAGAGGAGATAGCAGAGAGCCTGAGGGGAAGAGAGAATAAAAACCGCTTGCATAACACGATATTATGACTCCAAACATCTGCTTTACTAAAGGTAAACAGTTAAAAAGAATGATGAATCTGGGATTGACAATTAACTAACAGAAATTCTTTGTCAAAATTAAACAAACGCATTTCCTGATGGTATGCAAGTTCCACTTACCGGTATTTTTGTGAAGCATCATCACAAGGAGCACTCTCAGTGCTGGCAAGTGTAGCAGGGTGGGAGAAATCATCAGGAAAAGAGGGGTACCTAACCTTCTCAGATCTCAAAGCAGCCATGGGTGGAGTCCTTTGAATTAAAATCGGAAAATACAAACTAAGGTATGAATCTTATAAAAAAAATATCTGCTGATACATCTCTGAGAATATCGTGCGCAGAAAAGCTTATTAGGAAGACTTATACAATCAAGTAAATTGTCAGGAAATGAATAGGTTATGGGCTTGATCACAGTATGGTATTAATATCCTAGTAAAGTATTAATCTACATTTGCCACTCCATACCCAGGAGAGAAATGAGAACTTGTATGATGACAAAAGCCTTTGTGCTGCCCTCAAGGTCATCGCATGATAGAAATACTCCCCATGGAGTGGACATGGTGCACAGTGTGTGTGAACGAATCCAATCACCGGGGTAATAGTAATATATGTAAAATGCTTAAAATGGTATTTTGTTTTAAGTGCTATATAAATCTAGAATTGTTAATCAACAAAATTCTACTTACACTTTTGAGTCTTTAGCATATGAAGCATTCTCGGTGCTAGCTAGTGTTCCAGGCTGAGACATGATGTTAGACTGGGAGGATTTGGTGTCTCCTGAAGTCCTTTTTAAAGACAAGGACGAATTTGGTCAACCAAGAAGATCAAATCAAATCTTAATAAAAAATAAAGCAACAGTCATCCTGAATTAGGTAGCTTAGCAAAAGTGTAGTGGCACAAAAATTCATTTCTCTGAGCTACCTCATAATAATTCTATTTTTTTCTGTATTCAACATAAATTAAACTGTCAAACGTAATGTGGAAAGTCAAAATTAAAGTTAATTCTTGGCCAAGAAAGTACAACTTCACTAAAAAAGCGTAGACTGCAATCCATATTTGAAAAGATGGATGTTGAAATTGTACATTATAACGAGATTTTGCATCAGTGTGCGACTTGAATCCATGAGCATGAAAGTCATGAGAGTCGACGGCGATCCTATCGCACCACAGAAAACAGTTATTATTATCAAAAACATAATATACACTTACCTTCCCTCAACTTCATCATTGGAATGTAAGCTGTGACACCCACTCATGTCTGAATTAGAACTTTCGGTGCTTAAAGTCCGTCCAGTCAAAGCAAAAGCCATAACACTGAAGAAAGAGAAACTTGCATATTACTTGCTGTAAAGAGAATTCAAAATCATATTGCATGGTATAGTGTCCATCTCCAATTCGAACCCCCCATCTGTTAAACTCCGTCCTGTATCACTTGGAGATTATTTTGCCAAAATAACAGACGGTTTCGTCGCAAAATGGTAATTAACGACATAGAACCCAATTAAGATCAGATACAGTTTGGAAACCCCAAAAATATGTCAACGTACGTCATACTGTATTATTAACATTCTACACAATGTGTTTGTTTATTCAGTCCAACCAAAATCCTCATCAACAATAGTTGCGACAGACTTTTCAAAGGCCTTTGCCATAACAAAACTTATCAGCTTAGGAGATCACCCCTGCATTGTGCCATGAATCATGAGTTTCTTGCAATCCGGCAACATGTACCTAGCTGTTACAGATTGGTTCTATCTGATTTGTCGATGTTACAGACTGGAGTGCCACAGGGAAGTCGCTTAGGGCCCTTTGTCTTTCTAGCCATGATTAATGATGCAGAGCCATTGAGCGGCATAACAAGGTAATTTTTAGTTCTGTAAATGAATTTATAAGTTTCACAGTAGGAAACTTACAATGAATTTCTAAATATTCAAAATAATATTTGCTGCATAAACAATGATGAAATAGACAGAAACTGCCAAGAGTACATCTTTCACAAGTTGGCATACTTACTCCTTAATGGATAGTGAGTCAGGTTTCAACAAGTCTCTTCTTGGTGAACCATCAGGAGATGACCTGAAGGAAAGGAAACAAAATTTTGAAACACAGTCAATACGTAGTCTGCTGATACAGACATTTTTTTGACAAAAAAATGCCATGAAGTCTTGAGCTGAGCTTAAAGGTAAAGACCAGTATTGGAAACGCCCCAATTTCAAAAAATGAAATGGAAGCTCTAATTACCAATCATGTAAAAGAATATGTTTTGACTACTACATGATGATACAAATTTGCAGGGAAACTGCCTACTAATTGATATATTTGGTAAATTAGTTTATCTATTGGTATGTGAGAGATAAACGCACGTGTCGCGTACGTTTGCGTAGTCCCATATACATCTTTCTGTGTACAGTGCTTGTGACTTTACAAAGACTGGGCCAAATTTCTTATCATTTTGATGACTCCAGAACCTTGCAGTACACACCAATACTTATATGCTAGATGATCCACCTTTTCTTATTCGATTCCACAACGTTTCTTACACAATGCAATTGCATGACTAGAACTGGCCTTTATCTTTAACTGTTGTGACAACTAAGGCAAGAGCAGCTAGGGTACAAGACCTGTGAGGTGTAGTCTTTGGTCTGATATTTCAGACTCTGCCATTGGACTAAAATTACCTTATGCCTGGTGACAGAAAGAAGTAGATTACAGTCCCAGAGACTATATTTGATACTTGTATTTTATACAAGCATTAATCTACATTTGCCACTTCATACCCAAGAAGAGAAATGTAAACCTGGTAAGATGACAAAAGCCTTTGTGTTAGTAATTTCAATATGGCCTCTAGATGACCATTAGGAATACTCCCCAGGGAGTGGAGATGGTGCAACTTGTGCAAGAATGAATACAATGACCAGGGTAATAATATTTGTAAAGCACTTAGAGACAGTATTTTGTATTAAGCGCTATACAAATCCAGATTATCAATATCATTTAGATGCCACAATTATGAATAGTCAAATCCGATTTTGGAAAAATATTAAGGCTAGTCTTCTTGAAGGAGACTGGAAGGTCATAGTGACATAAGACTTGTCATGTGATTGGTCAACAATTTGATGTCAATCTTGAGGTCTTAACTAGAAGTGAGTTGAAAATTTACAATGCCAAAAACAATGTTTAGCATTCACTTCATCAGTTAGACTGTTAATTGGGACGACTAATATTTGTTTACATTCTTATGAAAATTGGATCAAAGTAATTGAGATTGGAAAGTGTGTACGAAGCCGAAAGGTTACCTTCTTTGAGCTCTGTTGTTTGAATGAAGGCTGTGAAACCCACTTATGTCTGAATGAGATCCATCCGTGCTTCCACTGCTGGAAGCTCCTTCTCCTTCTGTCGCTCCATTCTGATTCCTGAAGAAGGAAAAATCTTGCTGACATTTGTTTCAATATTCACACCAGAATGAAACCCAAGACTGCTTCATTGTTTTGAGTTACTGGTATATACACAGTCTACATAACATGTGCCAAATGTTTACTGTGGTGGTCCACTGATTAAGTCGACGATAGCGGGGACAGAGTTAAAAGTTTTTTTCTTTTCGGTTTAGTTAAATTTCATATTTCATATTCACATACATCATATACAAATCAATAAGTATGAAAAGAATTGTACTTTCAATAGGTGTAAACAATACATGCAATAATATCAGGCCATGAAAGTCTTTTCTTTTCTTGTCCCTTTCCACCTCTCCATTTCCGTCACTCTCTTTTCTCATTTTGGTCTTTCTCCCCTTTTAAAATGTTTTCACTACTCGATTGGGGTAGAAGAGGGGGCTTGTGACCTGTGCCCCCCCCCCCCCCCCCCCCCCCAGTAGCTACACTGCTGGCAGCATGTAAAATCAAGCTCAAGAAATACATTGCCATAAACTTACCCTTGAGACCCTGCATTATTGGAAGTGTCGGCTTCACATACTGGCGGGTCCAGAGTAACAGTCCTGATGAGAAATTATTTTAAAAGACTGACATTAGTACAAAATATTGCACACCGTACCATTGCACTTGTCTTTTAGTAACGTGTGTAGAGCAAACATAAGGAATAGGCACTTTATATAAAAAATATACCATGAATTGTTGTTATATTCACCTCGGCTTATATATTTTGTTGAATTGAACTCTGTAGCATTACATACTTGTATAATAGCACAATCATGTAACCTCCCCAAGAGCCTATAAAAACAATTATATACCTCACTTAAGAAATCCAGCCATCTGATTGGTCGAATTGCATTCATAAACTTCAACTGTTCCTGTAAAATTCCCGGTAACCATGCATAAAACATTTACTATTTTTAATAACCATGGTTATTAAAAAAATAGGTCAGCCTCCATGGTTACCCCATAGGTTTACATGTTAAAAAATGGTTTGAGCGATCGAGGATACCGTATGTGTGCGAAGGATTGGTCGGTAATTTCAATACAATTGAATCTCGATCGATCTTACCGACAATTTTATCTTGCATTGTTGACATGAAGACGAAAATAAACTTCCAAAAACAAAAAAACAACATCTGCCGATAGATCTTGATCTAAGTTCGTGCCAATATGCATTGCAAAAGTAAAAGAAGGGTGCTTTTGCGAAGCATTCATCACGCCGAAGCCGGTTTCAATCCACTTTAATGTATATATTGTACAAAACTGCCTAGCTCGTGAACAGCGCGCGATGGCCGAGTGGTGTAAGGCGTTGATGTAAGATTCATCACTCATTGTACGCGAGAGTTCGACTCTCACCTTCGACAAAAAAAAAAATTATTTTTTATTTTTTATTTTTTAGTCTATTTTTTTTCGGCATATAAAAGTATTAATGACTGCTTTAATATTCGAGAAATAGTTGTTTTCATACGCTCTCGGGAAGGTTACAATTGGGCTATTCCCCTCGGCAAGCCTCGGGGAATAGCACAATTCTAACCTTCCCTTGAGCGTAATAAAACAACTATTTCTCTCAAAGCAGTCATTAATACTATACTATGCCTCGAATATTAAAGCAGTCATTATAACTTTTATATACCGAAAAGGGTCATAGAATACATGTGCGACTTACCAATCATGGTAATCAAGTTTGTTTACGATATCGAGACCTAGTCTTAATAGGATGTCTGATCGCGCACCACTCGAGTTTGTGTGCTAAAATCCTTCCCATTGAGATTGCACGCATATACGTAAAATGACAAAACCAGTCAATAGTCTTTTGAAAAGAGCCCTAGGGCTTTTTTCAAAAGACTATTGACCGGTTTTCTAGCATTTTACGGGAATGGCTAAAATCACGACTCCAATTTCGACCAATCAGATGGCTGGAATTCTAAAGTGAGGTATATAAATCAAGATTAATTAATCAACAAAGTTCTACTTACACTCTTGGGTCCTTCACATATGAAGCATCGTGACAGATTCATGTGACAAAACTACGCTAGGTTGGAATACCCTCGCTCTCAATTTTTCACAATTACAATTTAGAAAACAATCTTGATATAAGTTATAACTCTGAACATAAATTCTTTGGGCCCAGGCACGGGCAGTGTTAGACAACTAGCCCTGAATAACAACAATCAAGAGCAGTGTCTTGGACCCGTAGCCATGCCAGCTCTAAATTTCATTGTTTGGGGGGGAGGGGGGATAATTTATGATAGTTCTTCTGCGAGCCTATCGGCCTCGCAGTAGGGCTTTTTTCCAAAGACTATTGACCGGTTTTCTAGCATTTTATGGGAATGGCTAAAATCACGACTCCAATTTCGACCAATCAGATGGCTGGAATTCTAAAGTGAGGTATATAAATCAAGATTAATTAATCAACAAAGTTCTACTTACACTCTTGGGTCCTTCACATATGAAGCATCGTCGGTGCTAGCTAGTGTTCCAGGTCGAGACATGATGCTACACTGGGAGGATTTGTTGTCTCCGGGAGTCCTTTTGAAATAAAAGGATGAATTTGGTCAACCAAGATCAATCCAAATCTTAATTCTTAAATAAAATAAAGTTACAGCCATCCTGAATTAAGTAGCTTAGCGACATTTAATGGAATGGAAAAGGCATAATATTTAGTGATATGTGCCCATTAGAAGTACTTTTATAATATATCTGAATTTATAAGTTTAGGTTGTGGCAGTGGCGGATCCAAGGGGGGGGGGGTGCGATTTTTCAAATTTTTTTTAGGACAAAAAAAAAAAAATTAGTGCTCACTCCCCCCCCCCCCCCTTACCACTGAGCGAATTATCAGCCGGCTGTTTCGCCACTAAATATTTTCTCACAAATTGGGCCCCCTCCCCTGCCGCCAGCTGGATCTGCCCCTGGATTGTGGTGTCTTGACCTTATAAGAACTTTACATATGTAAATATTATTGTCTTAACTGTAGTCTGTGGCTTGAAGTCTGGCCTTTTATTCAATTTTCACTCATTTCTTTAGTGACACCTGTTACATTATTAGAGTGCCACACATAATTTCTTTTTCTGGCAAGGACATTCTAAAACTATTGTATTGAGATTTGCAGTTATTCTGGCAATCACATTCCACATCCATTGTGCTGGGATGTGCAACCACCCAATGTACTGGTATAGCATTATTACACTTGCTTTTGCTACACCCATATTCATCATTTCTTCTGAGCTGTTCCTACAGAGCACATGTCTTTTAGAGATCTAGTCTAAAGTCTACGTACACCATTTGACCAAAGCTAATTCAGCTTCATCATAATTCATGTCCTCCTTCTTCGTTCAATTCTCTATTCAGTTCTAGGCCTAATTATTACTTTATTGAGATTATGAGTTTCTTCTCCCTTACTTCATCCGCAAAGAAGCGACATATAGTCTTATACGGGTACTGTGCATTATTTGAAAGACTACCTATCATTCACCTTGTGAGATAATTTGTCACAACAATTAGTGGCTCGAGCGCTAATTCTCGTGTCAGTTTCATCAGGTCTTGCTACGAGAAAAGGTAGAAAAGAAACCACTTTCTATTTCTTTTATTTTAGGTGACAAATTCCCTAGCTAAAATGTAACATGTATTTATCATTCACTTTAAAAAAAAACTGTCAAATGTGCTATATAAATCCAGATTTGTTGATGAACAAAATTCTACTTACACGTTTGAGTCACTAGCATATGAAGCATCTTCAGTGCTGGCTAGTGTTCCAGGCTGAGACATGAGGCTAGACTGGGAGGATTTGATGTCTCCTAAAGTCCTTTTGACATAAAAGGATGAATTTGGTGAACTAAGATGAATTCAAATCTTAAATAAAATACCAGATTCAACCATGCAGCCCTTCCCCAATGTTTAGCTCTCTCATTTAGAATCCTGACTTACCCTGCTAAATTAGTAATTTCTCTGGTAATACTTTTTACATTCTCCTGTAAATTCACTGCTAAAGAAATACAATTCGCCAATCCTACATTCACTATGGCTGTATATCACAATTCAGTTCAGTTTGGATTACATGCAAGTGTACCTACAAACACCCTTAAAAGGATGCAGTGATGTTCATACAAATAAATAGTACGATTGTCAAAACATTAAATTTTCTTTCATTACTTCAATCAGACAAAAATCAATAATAATTTTTTTTAAATCCTACCTTTTCTGCAGCTTCTCATTAAAATGCAGGCTGTGAAACCCACTTATGTTTGAATGAGATTCATCTGTGCTTCCACTGCTGGAAGATCCTTCTCCTTCTGTCGCTTCATTCTGATTCCTGAAAGGGGAAATATCTTGCTGACATTAGTTTCGTTATTAACTCTTTTATTAGCAACAGAATGAAACCCAAGACTGCTTTATTGTTTTGAGTTCCTGGTACATACACAGTCTACATAACATATGCTAAAGGTTTACTGTGGTGGTCCACTGCTTGTTCTATTAGTTGATGATAGCGGGACAGAGTTAAAAGTATTATTATTGTTCCAGTTTAGTTTAATTTCATATTTACATTAATTTCATAAATCATAAGCAATAACAATTGAAATATAAACAATAGTTCTATGAATAGGTGTTTAAAAATACATACAATATTATCAGGCCATGGAAGTCTTTTCTTTTCACAACATCAGTTTAATAGACCCTTAATTAAAGCCAAAGTAGGTTACCTTCTTTGAGCTTTGTCGTTTGAATGAAGGCTCTGGAAGCCACTCATGTCTGAATTTGAATGAGGCCCATCTGTGCTTCCCATGCTGGAATAAAAAATTATATGCAAATATAAGCCCATGCTTAGCTTCATGGCATTAATCAAAATATTTTATTGCTTAAAGAGAAGGTTGAGTTCTGGGAAGAGGTGAAAAATAACTTGTGAGCGTTATCATTCTTATTATGCAAGTGTGGAAGAATATCAGATAAGACATGTTCCCTGAAAAGTATGGCTCTTCAAATGCCTTCATATTCTAAATATGTCATGTAACATTGTAAAACTCGGGGGTAGGATTTTTTACACCACGTGTTCGTGTAGTCCCATATACATCTTTCTGTGTACAGTGTTTGTAACTTTACCAATATTTGGCCAAATTTCTTATCATTTTGATGATTCCAGAACCTTACAATACACACAAATTCTTATATGCTAGCCTCGTCTAGCATGCACGTTCATGTATATGTCCTGGGTATATGTTGTATTCATACATTGCACGTGTTCACAGGCTCACAATCACTTCACTCACAAACATTACAAGCACAAATTTACACTTCAATACACGTACAGCATGCACCCACAGTCATTGTAGTGTACGTAGGTACACATATCGCGATCGACATATACGCGACGTGAGAATGAAAACATGATTGACTGCGGAGCATGGCGAAGAAAAAGTTCTATTTTTTTCTTCTTTTTTTTAAATTTATGAGTAATACTTGAATTAATGAAACTTAGAACATTATTGAACTAATATCTTTCCTGTAGGATTCATATAATGCTCCAAAATTAAAGAAATCAGACACTTTTCAAATGATTTCGGTCTTGAATATTGGCTTATCGCAAGTTACTGTCGTTTCCTTACGCGGGATTGAAGGGCTATCATATGACCTGAAAAACTGAAGGGGCATTAGATCTATAGCATTGACCACGTTGCGCTGCTTTATATACTTAGCTTTGATGATGTACTGAAAATGAAATAACCGAACAAAGGTAGAGTGCTGTTTGTATACGCTCCCGGCCCGATCAAGGCATGCATGTGTATTTCAAGTCAAGAAGAAAGAGCATCAAGATATTGAACTTTACCTGATCCTGACAAGCTGACACGACGTACACTATATTGTAAGCTGCGAATGGAAATTCACAAGTTGATCGCCCGATGAATATGGCCGATGACAACAACACAACAACATCAACGGGAAATCCCCTTCTTACCGGTCTTGTCGTAGATGGCGCAAGAAGATTCTCAGTGCATACTATACTGTGTATGATCGAATCTCTTTGTCTCAGTGCCGTATTGGGTTGTCTCAGAGCCAGTTTGGCCAACTCTCCTAATCAATGGCACTGGGTTGTGTCAGGGGCGGATCTGGGGGGGGGGGGGGGGGGAGGTGTTTAGAGGGTTTAACTCCCCCTTGGGCTGGCAAAAAAAAATAATGACAGGGGCAAAATGAATTTTGTGCTTTGTGCTTTCTACCCCCCCCCCCCCCGAGATGTTGGTCAGCACTTTGTTCACGAAATTGTATTGGAATTGTCTGAGCTGCTTTCACTCCATGATGAACGTTACAAAACAATCAGTATAAATCATTTTTAAAAAATAGCTGAATTTCATTGTAACGGTAATTATGATTGAGCATTAACTTGGATTCTTGATATTTGAAGCGAATGCTGGCTCCTAGGACCTGAAGTCATGAAATACACCGTTAATTTGAAGGAAAAAATTGAATGAATTTACCTGACAAAAACAATCTTGGACGGAGAGTAATCAAATATATAGATGACTTAACTGTACTTGGGTTTTTTTAGCCGGCGCTGCAATATTTTCGATGAAAGCGCAGTAATAATAAAAATAAAAATCTGGATTTATGCAGAGTTAAATACGAAATAGGCCTACTGTTTAAGGCGCTTTGCAGATATTGTGGTTATCGGATTCATACACGTACAATGTGCACCATCTCCACTCCTAGGGGAGCATTCCTACCATTATAGTGACCGAGATGGCATATGGCAATCACTAACACAAAGGCGGCACAAAGGTTTTTGTCATCCTACCAGGTACCAATTTCACTCCCAGGTATGGAGTTGCCAATGTAGATTAATGCATTACCAAAGGACATTAGTGTCGTGTCGGGGATCGAACCCATGATCTTTGCATTTCAAGTAAAGTGATTAAACCACTACGACATTTCTACGTATGTCTGACGCCTTGCTGAAGAAAATCTTTCTGAATTCTGAATTAATTCTCACCGGGGATGATGGGGGATGGGGTCGGGGCAAGTGAGTTCGTAGGCTACCCCCTCCCCAAGTTGTTTGGGAAAAGGAGAGAATATGTAATAATATCTTAAAGACGGTATTTCATATTGAGCGCTATATAAATCCAGATTATTATTTTGATTATTATTATCATCATCATTATTATTGTCATTATTATCATCATTACTATTATCATTATTATTATGACTTTTATTATTTTCGTCATTATCATCATTATCTTTATCATTATCATTATTATAAATATTATTATTATCATTATTGTCATCATAATTATTATCATATTAAGAGAGAGGGAGAGAGAGAGAGCAGGGGGAGAGAGAGAGAGAGAGAGAGAGAGAAGGGGAGAGAGAGAGAGAGAGAGATGAATGAAAGAGAGGGACGGTGGAAACGTGAAAAGAAAAAAATGAGACGACAGACACCCTTCCTTTACACGATGGCCTTTTTTGGCCTTATTGATTCCCTCGTATTTCATCAGGCGCGCACGCAGGATTTTTTCAAGGGGGGGGGGGGGGGGGGGGGGGGGGTTTTAACATTTATAAATCGGGCCGAAAATTTCGCAACGACTCAGCCAGCCGCTGAATAAGCGGGGGGGGGGGGGGGGGGTAAGAGGTCACTTTTTTTTTCTTTTTTTTTGGTCCCAAAAAAAAAATCGCAACGACTCAGCCGACCGCTGAATAAGCGGGGGGGGGGGGGGGGGGGGGGGTAAGAGGACACATTTTTTTTTTGGGGGGGGGGTCTCGAAATTTGAAAATTTGACATTTTGCTCCTTTGGGGGGGGGTAAGGTCAGCTTTTTTAGGTCAACTATGGGAATTTTTTTTTTTTTTTTTTAATTAAAAAAAAAAAAAATCCAAAAGGGAGGGGGGGGTTTTAGAGAAATTTAGGGGGGGGGGGGTTCACACACAAAAAATTACCAAAGGGGGGGTTTAACCCCCCAAACCCCCCTGTGTACGCGCCTGTATTTCATCAACAGCAAAAGACTGGTGCCGACACTCCCCCTCCCGTAAAAGCACTGCCCCCTCAGTTATTCAAACTGTGAATTGTGGAGACAACTCCTATGAAATTATATCCTACATTATAACAGTAAAATAGCCATACACATCATTAGGCCTATGTACAAAATATACTAAAATGAATAAGTATTTTATATGATTTTTTTATTGTTATTTTTTTTTGTCATCAAAACACACATCCATAATATTGTTAGCAGAATTTACAGGTAAATTTGATTATAATTTACAGAATACATATGTGTTTACAATAAATATAATACAAATAAATTAGCAAGTGGAAGTTAAATGATAATGATATCCTTGAATCGAAGAAGTTTTTAACATCACATTTTGTAGCACTGTTATTACACATACGATATATGATAATCTTTAAGCTTTTTCTCTTATTCAATTTTATCAGGGCATGGTAGGTTGAGCGTCTTCAAATAAATGGTACCAACAAAAAGGGAGCTTTCTGGAAAAGAGGGCATCTACAAAGAGTAACCTCGAAGCGAAAATGTACAATTTTGAGACATTATTACATAATACCCTAAAATGTAATCGATACATTATGAGGGATGTTCTTCAAGTTTTTCTTTTTGTCGTGAGTGACATAAATTATGATCATGTAAACGCAGCTGCCTTGAGTTTGAAAACTCGTACATTAGTCTGAATCTTTATAATTTATTCTTGAACGAAGAGCAGTTGATTACCTTAACCTAGAGAAAGGACGTTTAATAGCTTTGAAAACGAGCACGGTTGTATTTCTTTAAAAAAAGTCCTTTCTTATGAAATGTTGGGCATTGTGCCCCCTGCCCCTCCCGGCTTTTAATACCGTCTTTCATCATAGTGGTAGAAAAAGGGTTCCTGTTATTACATAAAGTTGCTATAAGATGACATCAAAGGGGCAGCATAATTTTGTAAGCGACAGTGGAAAATATAGGTACAAAAGGGTACCTATCAGAGGGTAATTCCATCAAAAATAACAATGGGGACTTATCATTATTAAAGCATGTGTATGCTTGTAGGTTAGCGACCAGGGGACCGACGGCGTTAAGTCTTCTCCGAAGGACTTTTTAATGAGGATTAATGCCTATCGATTGATTTCGAAAGCGGGACCTCCCTGCATGTTACGAGGTCACTGCTCTACCACTGAGCCACCATGTCTCCTAAAAACTTGTTAAACATTTTAAAAGCAATAATTAGTATGTGGTTCTGACCAACAGCATACTAATCAACAACCTACAAATATATACAGTGACTGTGATAGACGCTGGATTCTTGGTCAAGATAAAAACAAAATCTTCTATAGGGTATTTGCCGAAATAAAAATGACGCACTAGACTATTATCATATTTCATTCATTCAAGTAACGTCGATGAATATAATACACATGATACAGAGGTATATATTTCTACAAATATGAAATGATCATGATAAAATTTACACAATATAGTACAATATAATATTTCCTACTAGTACCACATTCACTATGATCATGACGATTGAATATTTAGTTATAAATAATTTACATTTCAGTTTTGACATTTCTGCACGCTGAACAAATCCATCCTATTTTGGGCATATCCTTTAAAAAAGTCTTAGTTTGTTGAACAGTGTAACATAATCGTGAAAGCTGTATATCAGCAACAAGTAATGCTTGGTGTACAGATATATTGTATGATGCACTTTTTCTTCGATGTATATATATGTATTCATCAAGGCGCGGATCCACAATGGGGGCCCGACGCCCCCTAGCAAACACCCCCCTGCTTATTCACCGGCTGTCCAATTCGCCGCTAAATAATTTTTCACGAATTGGGCCACCCTCTTGTCGCCGGCTAGATCCGCGCCTGTATTTATCTGCAACCTAATATGTACATTGTGTTGTGTTCAAGTTTTTCTTTTGAATAAAAACACCTTTTTTTTAAAGAGTAATGCTTGGTGTATATTCCTACTTTTAGACCCTTGTACAAAAAACTCGACTAATAAAATTGAGTTAGTTGGTATTCGCCTACGGAATATTTTCTTCAAGTTTACGAAGTGTTTTCGCCATGAACATGATGAAACTAGCGGTGAACTGAAAACGTATAAGAGTTTGGGACACACAGTCATGTCTGAGTCATCCTTGTTCTCGATCCAGATGACGTGTAGGGGGCCCCTCTTTTTTAAACTTCGGGATCTGCGACTCCATTCAATTTCAAATCATTGATGAAATGTCTTTTGTGAGGCTTATAGATCATGGATACGATGATGATGATGATGATGACGGTGAAAATGGCTGTCTTCTTGATCTCGATCTGGACTGGCATCTGGAGAAGAAAAAGATACATAAAATAATAGTCATTAATAATTTGAGTACACTAGTAGAGATATATAGAATACAGATAATATCCGCTAAATTATGTCAGGAAAATAAATGCATCGTTATTGATTAAAAAGATAGAGAAATAAAAGTAAATTAGTTTAAGACGCTTCCCATCAAAGAGTTATTAATTTCTTGAACAGTATAATGAAGAAACGCGTTATAAAATGCGTAGCGTATAATCAAATGCAACATAAGCTCTGAAGAAACCTTATATCAATATTCGTTAAACCAGTTCAAATCATAGATATAAAACTAGTCATTTCTTCTGGACAATGAACTTTTTTTATTCCGTTCATGTTTCAGTATTTTAGATACAGTATTTAAATCTTCAAAGATATATCATTCTCTATAATTATGTAGGGTGTTGCGCTGACCAGAAAAAATCGACTACTTTGCGCAAAAGTAACCACGACCGTATATTTTTGTCTTCAAACAACATGACCATGGTTTATGAAAATTTACCCGGATGAGCGAGCACTGGTGTTTCAATACCTGACAGGGTAATAATCGGGAGCGCCAGGAGGGTCAAATCTGACTGACATGAGCGCTATACAAGAACCCACTATTATTATTATTATTATCAATAATAATCATATCATGCTTAATCACTTGGGATCTTTTATTTAACAAAAAAGATAGAGATCGACTTATGATGACTATATTATATGTTAAACAAATCGTAAATGAAATATCAAGTTAAATAGTCTGCATAATTATGTACAAAAATTATATTTTACATTATCAGTTTGTATATTGTTAGACATTGTTAAGTATTTTTATTTAGTAAAGTATCGATTGTAGTTCTTGTAATTCATATATTACTTTTGTTTTGTTACGTTTTTTTAACTGATTGGTACCGAAATACTTTGCTGTTTAAGGGGTTATGCTCGACTAGCACATGTGCTATTATCTGGCCCCTTTAAATAAATAAAATAAAATAAAATAAAATAAAATCTAATACACTTACTTGCATGTTTGTGGATTAAATACATATGGAGATCGGCAGCCTGCTTCGAGTCTTTCTAAACATTGGCATCCACAGATATCCTCATTGAAATAATGCTTTCTTCTTCTACACGTCCTGTAGAACATCAAATGAATTTTTTTTTAAATTAGCACAAATTGCGATATTCATTTTGATTTCGGGGGGAAGAGAGAGGGAGAGAAAGAAGGGATGGGGAATGAGAGAGGGGGGACAGAATGGGTAGGGAGTGAGAGAGAGGGATAGAGAGAGAGAGAGAGGGGGGGAGAGATAGAGAGGGAGAGAGAGGGGGGATAGAGAGAGAGAGAGAGAGAGAGAGAGAGAGAGAGGGGGGAGAGATAGAGGGATAGAGAATGGGTGGTAAGCTTGAGAGAGGGAGGGGTACGGTATACGCATTGTAAATGCAAAATCTAATCATATTTGATTGATATTTAATATTTGTTTCTCCAACTTGTGTTCACCATTTTCCAATTATCCACTTATGTCTTTAATGTAGCCTGTACCTTGTTTCTCTTTGATCGCTATAATTCTTTTGTTTTGTTTTCTTCTTAATCGTTTGATTGAAATGTCATAGTTTTATAATGTTTTATTGCCTATTGATTGTTTTTACACATTGTTTTTATAATTGATGTTGGAATTTGGAAATAAATGATTTGATTTGAATGATTTGAACTTGAATTGTTTTATATCAATATGTCGCTTGGGCCGTTACCTCTTTTCAAAAACATAGACATAACATAATCCTAATCATTACAAAGAAAAACTTACCTTTCATGTATTGGCATGTTACAGACGCAGTTACATCGTATAGCATCCCATACCATTCCGTCAGGGCACTCATACTCTGCAGCGCATTCACACTGACAGTTTCTATGAATCTGTTAACCACACAAACAAAAAGCAAAGTCTATCATTTTTGTTTAAAACGTTTTCCTTCAAATCCATTAGAAAACATTAGAATAAGAACACCTGTTTGAACTATAATTATTATCTTATCGAAAATTAATATCGCTAGTGACATTCGTTTGTCTCGAAATGTATGGTCATGGGATATTATTAGCGATATTATTTTCGATACTATATCCGCAATGAGTAATATATTTAGCATTATAATTATCTTTGTTAAACTATTGCGTAATCATATACTATTCTTTCTCCTATTATGCTGGTTTAAAAACTTCTTGATGATTTTGAGTTAGATGATTAAAAATTGCCTGAGGAAAACGTATGAAAAAAATTAAAAGTGTAAAGTTTTTTGATATGTTTTCTCATGGTCTCATTATTTTGTTGAAATTAGTGAGATGAATAGTAATGATCTGAATTTGTATAGACGGAATACCGTCTCTAAGCCATCGGATTCACAAATATTCATTTCAGGAAAACGGATTGACCAATCAGGAACAAGGTTGCAACTAATTCTTAAATTGGTTTAAAAATCCAACATCGTTCACTGTATCTCTTTTCCGTGTGACCTATTCTTCCCGATCGTCACTGAGTACATTTACTATATGTATTCATATTGTAGACGATTCACAATGCAAGATGTTTTACACAAGGTAACATGCGTAGTACCTCTCTGGTGGGATGGCAGTCCTGTGGCTTGATCCTACATTCGCATGAACACGATTCGTCTTCCCGTACAGAGATGGAAATAAGTCCGCTCAGCTGAATTTGGGTAGATTGTTGATCAGCAGTTAGGCGTAAGACCTATTGAAGAAATGATTAAAATCACTAGACATTAATTTTATTACAATTTGTTTTATTTTGTTTTAAAAATATGTTATAGCCCGTTTGTTCTAATTTGGCCGGGGGATTAGACCTCCCTGCAAGGTCATTGACAGGTGGTTATCTCATCAAATGAGCTCTCAATCAACATAAGAAAAAGGGGATCATGGGTAGGCTAATCACGGGGGACCAACATGCACCGATTAGGCATTCAGGGCGCAAGTGGCTAATAAGTAGTGCAGTGGGGCTTAACAGATTGAAAGTGGCTTTGGAGAGAGTGAGAGAGAGTTAGATAGAGGGGATAAGGACATTTTTCTAGTAAAGGACGTCCAAGTAAATATCAATCTTTCCGCAAAAAAATCTTTAAACAGATGAATAATATGAAAAGGTAATAACAATATAAAATACAATTAAAAAAACCCCGAAAGAATTCCCTTAAAAAAAAGTAATGTCAAAATGGTAAACCATCGTATTGATTTTAATTCACATTTTAATAATGAACATAAACTGGACCCTTCCCCCGCCATTCAAGCGATTGCTGTTAATAATCGTAGTCAAGGAGTGACAACTCTTATTTTTGTTTAAACATTTTGGATAAAGTTGGTTTAACATCCCCCCCCCCCCTTCCTCTCCCCGGCGCCCGGCCCCCCCCCCTCCCAAGACAACGCCCCTGGTCATACCTGCATTTCTCTTGTTCTTGTGTTATTTGGAGCACATTGCAAGATTTCAGTGGAGCAGCAACCTCCGCACCGGTTAACTGTGATACATGGAGGCCAGTAGATAGCGTACTCGACCTCGTTCTCAGTTAGTCCTTCGTCAATGACCTCGGATGTGGCTAGGAGTGTCGATCGCGGCTCACACCTCGGCATTTCAGCTACTAAAGTATTATAATAGGTCAAATTGAATGAAATTAATGCATTGATTTTATATTTCCATTAAAGATTGCGCTTGCAATATCGTTTGTTTGTTGTAGTGTATAGCATTTTGTTGGGAATGGGCTTCGAGGTGCTTGAGGTCTTCGAGGTTTTGCTCTTGCTCTTTACATCAACTATGTTTTCGCATACTGTATATGATGGAATTTGTTTTGAAAATAAAGAACCCTGTGGAAGGGGGGGGGGGGAAGAAATAACTATGTTTTCGCGATTTTTTTTTTTAATATAATTTTTTTTAAGAGAGGGGGGGGGGGGCACGCATGCATTTCGACTGAAACTGGACATGCACCCTCTGGACAACTTCAACCCGAACGATTATTACTGGGGAGTGTTTCACAAAGATCCTAAGTAGAACTTAACACTAAGTTGGACTTAAAAAGTATGGACAGCCATTGGAGCCTTAAAATGAAATATATTCAAAAGCAAAAATTGGAGTATTTTAGACTTTTCATCAATTCCACATCAAGAACATGAAATCCCCCATGATAATAGAAAATATGAATGATTTGAATCAACATTTTTATGCCTTCTAAAAAAAAATACAAAATGTTTTCAAGGATGCTAATGGCTTCCCATAAATTCTAAGTCCAACTTACAGATAAGTTCTACTTAGGATCTTTGTGAAACACCCCCCCCCCCTGGATAACAACACCCTGTGGCGTAGCGTGGGTCTCGTCACGGAAGGGGGCGGGGCAATGGTGTTATGTGAGGGGCACTTGATTAAGAAGTCCATGCTCGTACTAATACTGTATTAATAAAAGTTCGAGAGCAGAGGGGCGTCGTGTAATGATTGGATCGATGTGAAAGGGGTCGTTTCAATTTTTCTTCACCGCTTCCCCTTTTTTTACGTTCTCTTTATCTCCCCCACCCCCTCCCCTCCCTTGCGCCAAATTATTTGTCATTCGATTAATGCACCCCCACTGAGCGGCTCATATAACTCTTAGTTCAAACTTTCCCCTTAGACAAGTACTCTCCCGGACAATTGCTTGCCTTAAAAATATTCTCTACACATTTAACGCCCTGACAAGTAAAGGTCTCTAGAACAGATTTATCTGGACATCCACCCCGACTCAGACAACTGTCCCTGGGTACTACCACTACTACGCCCTAGAGAATTGCCATCCGGACGATTAACCCTAACTTTAGGACAACTGCACCCAGACATAGATCTATATATTCCCGGACAAGTATCATTGGACAGGTATCTTTGGACAATATCGCTTGCCGAAATATTACCTCCGAGACAAATCTCACCCCTGACACTCGAAGAAAATCTGCATCCGGGCAACTATCTTCTCGCGTATCTTCTAAACGTGGTTGGAAATGTTATCACAAATCCCGAATCCAACTTCAAATGGGAAATAAACTTCGGCTTAAACACCGTCGAATTCCACTATAGTAGAGTGGATGAAGAACTCCTGTTATGTGCTTAGTGAATGTATACCTCGCGGCATTCGATCCCCAAATAATGTGCCCCCAACACATAAAAACAAAAACAAAAACAAACTCTCAATGGAACGGTATATTTAGATGATTTATATCTGTCCGTGTCCCTCTTAGCTGTTTTTTCTTCTCTTTCTTGCGACATCTTGATATTCAATGACTAGACATGCATGGTGCGAGACTGGCATGAATAGATTATGAGACAGACTGTGGTTGGGGATTCAAGGGAGGGGTCAAAAGAATAAAACCGCGTCAAATAATCAATATTATGAACGAGATATATGTTATCACCCTTTGAATCATTAATGATATATAAAGGTCTCCGGTTTTTATTTAGGCCTATATTCTTTCTGTAATGCATCGTCGCGTCATTAATCATCCACTCATTTTGCTCTCTATCTGTCTCTGCCCACTCTCCATCTTTTTTCTCCTTTTGGGGTTTTTGGTTGTTGTTGTTGGTGTGCATCTCTTTTTTAAATTTATAAATCTGCCTCCACTGCTCCCTATCTTATAACATCTCTATGACGTCACTATGACAAGACCATGCATCATCTCCTGTATTTGCATGACTGTGAGCCTATTTTATATTGTGACGTCATGAACTGTTTGTTCTTTCTTCCCCAAGATGTAGCCAAATAAAATTCGGTTTCAGATATCATCATCATCATCATCATCATCATCAAGTGCCAGGTCTGTTGCAGACATCGACGGTCATGGCCCTCCATTTTTGTCTGTTATCTGCTGTTCTTAAAAAGCTGGACTTGCTGATTTCATTTTTGATTGCCCATTTTGTTTCAATCTTTGCAAATATACGTAAGGCGTAGCCTTCCCTGGCTCGTTTCTTCAATCTTCTCTGTTAATACAGTTCTCCCTAGATTAATTATCCTTTTTGTATATTATGTGACCAAAAATTGCATTTGCTTCTTTTATTGTGTTTATGAGTGATGGTTTTACTCTTGATTTTCTGAACAATCTCAACTTCATGTGTTATCTTTTCTTTTCCATGATATATTAATCGAGGTATATTTAGGTAAATTAAATTTTGTATAAAATATACCAACGCGACCCCCACTCGCTCACCCTGCACCCTCCCCCTCTTTCTCTCTCTCTCTCTCTCTCTCTTTCTCTCTCTCTCTCTCTCTCTCTCTTCTCTCTCTCTCTCTCTCTCCCTATTAAATTCTTCCGAAATTATTTTTCAAGTCGTCTGTTATTCATATTTGTTTGACGACAAAACAAAATAACGATGACATAACATGATTGTAAAGACTTTCGAGAAATCAACCCTAGGCAAATTTCACTAGCCCCGTGCGTCAATTATTGAAATTTACGAACATGAAAATGACGTAATAATGACGTAATTTTTGACAATTTGTCTCCATTGTTTTATAGGCAATACAATAAAAGTTTAAAAATTGCACGAAATTGATTTTTTTTTTAATAAAGCTATTGCAATCGTGTTACATAATATAGTGTATAAGGTAACTTACTTGATGCCATTTGCAGACTAGCTGGGCCATCCATTCCATGGAATCTCAGCAGCGCTATTTTATATGAAAATAAATCACTTCATTATTATATCATTTACAACAACAAAAGATTAGAAATAATGGTTTCTTAAAATGATTAGGTGTATGTAATATCTTTCCTGCTGCTGTTTAGGAATATTGCTATTATTGCGTAAACTATTTCACCTTCTCATATCGGTGGCATATCCAGGAAAGGGGTCCCCCTTCCCCTCCCGATTTAAAGCACAGTCAATACAAATATTTTAGGTTTATGGTACATTTTGTATACATTCAGCTCCCTCCCTGATCTGCAGTCCCCCCTCCCCCTCCCCCCCCCCCCCCCTCCCCCCTCCCCCTCCCCCTCCCCCTCCCCCCTCCCCCCATGCAGACACACACTTAAATGTCTGGTTCCGCGACTATAATACATGTATTTAATACACTCCTAACTGTCTTAGGGTTATTAATTTACCGGACGGTTTGTTTGCTCCAGTAGTAGCTGCACCATCAGTTTCCTCTTCGGACTCTTCCGAAGATTGCCGAGAGATGATCGGAACCACTTTCGGAGGTATTCGTCTATCAACCGATGAGCTTCCTGTGAATCCCTTGGCTGATGTAGATGAAATAACGTATTTGCGTAAGGAAAGATGGAGGGGGGAAATGATAAACAAAATACGTATGATTTTTACCTAATTGGTTGTAAATATGTCATTTGATCTCCTTTTATTATTCTTAGACAAGAATATTGCAGAAATAATTTGTATCAAAACGGGTTATTCGAGTGGAGATTTTTTTCTTCTATGCCTACAGACGTGACAAAATTGGGTTGAAATCCCAATGAAAACTACCATAACATAATGACTCAATGAAAAATTGTTTTGAAAAAGCATAAAGATGCACAAAGAGCTGAAAGTGAGAGAGAGAAAAAAATACGGAAGAGAAAGAGAGAAAAAGGAAGAGAATCAGGTAAAATTGATTAGAGAAATATAGTGAAAGAGATGGAGAATTAAACATCATAATAATACACCAATAATCACATAAATCACAATAGTGCAATGAAAAAGACACATAGAACAAGACAATGGAAAGAAGGCATGGAGAATCATGAGAGAGAGGGGGGGGGGGGATAGAGAGAAAGAGATAAACAGACAGACAGACAGAGAGAGAGAGAGAGAGTGAGAGAGGGGGGAGAGAGGTGAAATTAAATATCATAATGATACGCAATATAATATAAATTGAAAAGACGGACAGAAGAAAGACAAAGAGATATCATAATGAAGGAGAGATAGAGAGACAGAGAGACAGCAAATAGAGCGAGAGAAAGAGAGAGAGAAATAGAGAGAGAGAGAAAGAGAGAGAGAGAGAGAGAGAGAGAGAGAGGGGGGGGGGGTGAAAGGGGGTGGTAAATACCTTGATTTGGTCGTATGTATACCACTTTCATGAGATCCTCGATCGTGTGTACATCTTTCAGTCCATACAGCAATGAGGCTGGGATCTGTAAGGGGCGAAAGCAAAGATGTGATTAACATTATACTAGCTCAAAAAGTATGGACAAAACAACTATTGATTCAACCAGTGGTAATAATAAAAAAATAAAAAAGACTTTCAATTACTCTGAATTGATATGAGGAACACGAATCATTTGATAGGGGGCACCACCGGTCTTACCTGGAATATGAAATGCACTTTTTGATTAGTTGGAGGGTGCTAGAGATACCCCATGCCTCTTCTTTTTCATCCTTTCCCCTTCTTCCTTTCCCTTTATCTCTTTCCTCGCGTAGCTATAGGGCAATTCCACGGTAACGGAAGGACACTCAGACAAGATTTTTGAACTTCAGGTTCATACTAAAAGAAATGTTTTATTAGTATGTATTAAACTATGGGGAACAAAATGTGTTTCAGTCAAGTGGAAAGCTTCATCAACTTCACAAAGTTTGGATAAACACTAATTAACTGGAAAACCATGTCCATTTTTATGTCCTTCCGTTACCGAGATAATTAATATGCACATTCTTAAACTACTTAACTATAATGACAATTTTTTTGGGGAGAATTAAAGGCACTTATATAGGTATTATATCTGTACTGTTTCATATCTTATACTAATAAAACAGTTCTTTTAGTATGAACCTGAATTTCAAAAATCTTGTCTGAGTGTCCTTCCGTTACCGTGGAATTGCCCTATATACAAGCCCCCCCCCCCCTCCCATGTCCACCTATAGTTACGCCGCTTGGCCTCACGATCAGTATGATTAATTGTTAGTAGGTTTTCCTGTTTCGTGTAATTAAATATTAGTTGTTGTTGCCATGCTGAGCCAAGGGTATGTTAACCCTATATTCCTACAAATGATAAAAGTGAAAGTGACTTTCACGAGAATTTCTGAGTGTCTATTATAAGCTTTAAACTGTGGAGAATACGTGTGAAAAGGACACCAAGGAAAGTAATAATGCGTCAATAAGTTATGAAGACGATCACAATTAATGTCTGTGTACTATTAGTCCTATATTTATGATGACATGGTTTCAGGATTACTTTAGAAATTCAAAAATTAACAGGTTTAGTTTTCCCTATCGATATCAAACGTAATCGCTTTTTAATCAAACTTTGGAGCGGCGTTTAGGCCTGCATGTTTCTTTCACTCTGTCAAAATGTCTAAACATACACAGACTTTAATGGACATGCCAATGTTACTTTTAAATAATTATAATGCACTGAAATTAAATTACGAAGATTACATTCGCGTCACTTCGGAATTATATTAAATGTAAAATAAACTTTATTTTGTGTAACACGACGGGATGAGATTATATATACATAATATACTACGTATGTAACCAATAATATTTCCAATAAATCTGATAAACTGTCTTTACATATTTCTATCAATAGAAACCTAAGTGAAATAATTATGTGTGTCTTGCGACTGCAGTTTTTCAACGAAATCGAGATTAAATCAGAAAGCGCGCTATTTCCGTTCTCAGTTTCTGCCTTTATCAAAGAAGCAACAACAACAACAACAAGCTCTTATATTGTTTGCGGAAAAAACAAAATAAAAAAACCAAGACAAATTCGTAATCCTCGTAGCTGGAAAGCAAACAGGATGTGAAATTGATATCAATTTGAATTTGATGACATGAAAATGCTATTTTCAGCATGTTTCTGGAGTGAACTGTTGGCACTTTTCTAACGATATGAGTAATTGCAGGAACCAAGATTAAGAAATTGGTTTAAAAAAAACAGAATGGTGAATTTCAGGGCCATGAGTGATCGGAACAAACCGAGTTCCTGCGTTAAAATAAAAAAAAAACAAAAAAAACAAGATGTTATTTTTGAGGTGATTTGTTTAAAAGACGAACGAATAACAAACGATCGTAAAAACTTTCGAAAACCCAATCTAAGGCAATGTATTTGAGTTGATGTTTCAATTAGTCTTTGCGTTCATATTGAATGGATGTCCTTGTTGTATAAAATAAGACAAACACTGTGAATATCTAAAAATGTATAGCCCTTTCTGTATCACCGCGACGTGGAATTTTTTTTTGTCTGAAAGAAAATGTATCAAATTCAATAAAACAAGAAATTTAAAGCTGATAGTAACCAAACAGTTCCCTGGTCAATGTGATTTGAAAAGCAGCCGGGGAAGGATCATCAGTTCTACTTCAACCTGAGATTGTTGATGTAAGTATATTTGTATAATACTTTAAAAGGAGACTATTTCCGTACTCCAGACGGACTTCGACGAAAATTCATTGTACTTCTCCCTGGGAGGCCGTCGAATAACGCTGATTCAATTAGAACGTTCCTTCTTTTGTTTCATCATAATTCATCCTCTTCAAAAATTGAATTTAGAAGCGAGGATTGACAGACGATTTTAAAAGGCACAAGGTCAATACTGTGCGAACCATGATTTATAAGTTGTGTGACGTGAATTTTGTCTTGTAACATACTTTGTAAATGCAGTTGACGAGTTTAAAACACGTAAATTTCATTCATGATGACCAATTTCCTGTTTATATGTAATGCTATTACTACATTTTTATTTAACTTCCGAATATTTTTGACACATGTTGTGAAAGGCGCTCGGGAACTCATGTATTAAGCGCTCCATAAATGTATTAACTATTTCGTTCAGTAGTAATAATAGTAGTAGTATTAGTAGTAGTAGTAGTAGTAGTAGTATAGTAGTAGTAGCAGTAGCAGCATTCGTATAGTAGCAGTAGTAGCAGCAGCAGTAGCAGCAGTATAGCAATAGTAAGTAAGTAGTAGTAGTAGTAGTAGTAGTAGTAGCAATGACACGATTGAAAGCATTTATAACAGCAGACAAATTTAATGAATCCTTTTGTGTGTGTCTAATAAATATAATAATAATCTAAGTACATGCAGTTACTCGATTTAGATCGAGGATATTCAATACGGACATTACTTTCGAAAACCAAATAAGGACCGGTGAAAACTGAACACCCTATATATATATATCCCATTATGTTCACGTATTTCAAAAGTGACGTACAAGGCTATTGAAATTGCCTTAGGTTAATTTTTCGAAAGTACATGCGATTGTTTTTATACGTGAGAATGAATTGCATTGCAATTTTTAAAGCCTTACGTTAATCCATGAATATTTCTGGCTAAAGGGCAGTCTCCCCTTTTGTCCCCGGAAGTAATAACAAATACAAACTTATAAATCTTACTTTTTGTCTCTCTTCAAACAGGAGATTTGATTACACCCAAAGGACTTATGTTCATTAATATTGACCTAGTTTCATCGTATTTCCGATATTCTCTAGGCATTTATTCCTATAAGTTTAAACCCGGATATTCCTACCAAACCGCAATTATTAATATTATAGAAACAGAGTTATGTCTGTGAGCCATTTATAAAGACAATGAAAGTGAGAATCTGCTAGACCTCCCATGTCAAAGCATTGGTTACTTGTTCCAGTTTAAATCTTCATCATCATCATCGTCATCGTCATCATCAAGTTCGGTTTTAAAATGAAAAGCTATTTTCCACATTCGAATTAACAAATTCTTATCTTTGGAAGAAACAAAAACTGAATCACGCACATTCCAATATCTCGAGTAGGTCTACGTACAAAGAAAGAGTAGGAATCAGAATGATTATATGGAAAACGGTTGAATCAAGGGAAGTCCTTTTCATGAAAGGGCATTAGAAGAGTGATCTCATTGAAAATAGTCCATTATCGTAATAATAATAATAATAATGATAATAATAATAACAATAATAATAATAATAATAATAATAATAACAATAATAATAATAATAATTGTTAAGTCCCTCTCTACAAACTATTTCATTCACCTGGTACAAATCATTATTTTTCATTAGTCAGAATGCGAATTGCATTATTACATGTTGTTATATAGGGAGGGCAAGCCTTAACATTTGTCCTAACTAGCAACAATTAATGTTTGTTATTCGCATTCTGACTATTGAAAAACAATAATTTGTACCAGTTGAATGAAATAGTTTGTAACATGTGGTACTTAACAAACAGTTATGCATTAAATTTGAAGAAATTACGAAAATGGTCCATTGTAATAGAGTAAATGTTTTGTAGATCTAAATGTGCTCGTGTCGAAAGTGTATAGGATCCTCGAAAATTAAGTTTAATCCCTGCACAATAAATTTTCTGAAGAATTATGAAGAAAAAGAAAGAGTTGTAATGAACAACCTAATATCTTATTATAATGTGCTCCAAATGCTTAAAGATATAGACCGGTAGTGGTAAAATTGCGGTTTAAAGGTTTTCGGGGCTAAATATCCATTCAATATTGTTTAAATATTGCCTTCAGAGGTTTAGATGGCAATACTTCAACCTAAATTCGAAAGAAAAAAAAATCAGAAATATATGCCCAAATGTTCAATGTTGAAGTGCATTCGCGATATCTATTCAGGCCGGATCGATATGATACTTTACCAAATATATCAATTAGTAGGCGGTTTACCGGCAAAATTTGTATCATCACGTATTAGTCAAAACATAGTTTTTAAATGATTGGTAATAAGAGCTTCCATTTCATTTTTGAGAGGGGGCGTTTTCAAAACTGGTCTATACCTTGACTCGACATTAACAAAACTTAAAATCAATAAATCAATGAACAGATCATAACTGTCACGCGAAATGCGCGGCATGTGAAATAAACAATGGTCAAACAACTAAACAAGACAGTCTATTTTTCTCTTTCTAAAACAAATTGACTTTGATGTTGCCTAAATGCTTGCCAAATGATCGTGAGACACGTACGGAATTGAACCATCTGTTTCAATCCGATGAATGACATTCTGAGATAAGATTACGCAGAGATTCGAAGGGATAAAAAGAACTTTTGAAGGTTTAAATTCGGAATTCATGCAGTAATATAGTCATATAAGTGCATATGCCATCGCGAAGTGCGTCTGTATAGTAGTTCAAACATTTACAACGATCACAATTCACACGCGTTTGCACTGGTTAACACTTTTTAATTGAGGAATGATTATGATAATGCTGCTTTAACTTTGTATGATGCGAGACCGTTGTAACTGACAATTTTTTCTCGCAAAAAACCCGAATTAGAAAGCGAAGCTTTACCTGATCGACGTGCCTTTAACATCAAAAAGCGTTGTATTTATAGAGAGTCAAATACATAAGTCATTTTTTATAATTAAAAAATATTATATCCTACTTTAACTTCTTTAATGAATTATCCATCTTCACAGAGAATGTCAAAAATCATAATCCTAACAGCGTCCTTATTCCTTTAAAAACATCCAGGGTAAACGACTTTTGAAGACTTAAGATTATGTTCAAATCCTTAATCGAATTTGCAACATAATATTCAAGGATCTTGCAGCAATAATTCAAACCAATATTTCCTCTTTTTATTTTGTTTTGTTTTGGCTGACTAAATTTACAATGTTTCTCGAAGGTTAGATGTCGATTCGGATCACCATAGCAACCACGATCCGGAGAGATAAGGCGGATAACAGCGAGTCAAATTGATTAGTTCGTAAATATGAACTGTCTCTGGCTTTCCGCGGAATCATGTTTTCCAAGGCAACACAATTGGAAAAGTTTTTGTTCTGTTATTATGTTGAATGTATTTTTTTAAATCTTGATGTGATGTAGGATATCTGCGTGTTGGATCAAACAAGTGAACTTTGCAAAAAGAGAGAGTCTAAACAATACAATGATATATTTATTGCACTTTTGCGTTTTCACCAAGCTTTATTGAGTCCGTCAATAATACACTATGTTACGCAGGCTATTGCGGCATTATGAAATATACAATGATAAATATTATTGGTACACAAACATACATCAGCGTATCAAAATGAGATTTTTTCTTTCTTTCTTGACACCATAGTTAATTTTATGAAAAGTAAACCTTTGTTTAGACTTTCTTATGCATTATCTCATTTCGTTCGATATGAATATGAAATGAAAGTCTTTATTTTATGAATAAATGCTATTGAAAACTAAAACTTTAGCCTTTCCCATTTAATTCCATTTATAATGGGAATATAATATTGTTGTGAAAACAAAGTTCTCAATACATTTGAAGAAAAAAAATAGTATGATTGTAGAACAGTCAATCTCTGATAGTTAGCTGCCGCGACTGGCGGATCCTAATTTTGAAGACACTAAAATTATCATTCATAATTTCTTATTAATTAGTATCATTGACATCTTCTGCGAATACTATTCCGGATTAATAATGATGATCCACATTCTATGACATTTAGACAATACGTTTTCAAACTTACTTACAATTACAACACATTAATTCTAACGAAATGACCGTAAAATCCCATTTCTTAACCATGTTTATGATTTATATATTTTCAAGATTCTTTGGCAGAAAAACATCCGGACCCATGCAGACTCTGGTAAAAATATTATGCGCACTTAAATCACTATTATATGAAGAATAATGGGTGTACACAAACTGATGGATTAACAAATATGTCATCTATATTATACGTACGAGAACAGACAAATTTCAGTTTCGACAGAAATTTGCTTCATTTAAAACGGATCATGTATGACCAATGTCATTGAAACTGAATACACGCAAGATTTTTTTGATAACAAGCAATATCTTATCAAAGGGGACATCGTGATAAACTTCATCAACTCTTAAAGATGTTGCATTACTATACCGGGTTTTACTGACGTCATATTACATGTAAACAGCAAAGCCAATCACTTAGGGGTAATCGATTTTGATTGAAATATTATGAGCCGAAAATCGAGGCATTCAAAATTTCGTTTCTTCAATAACAGTTCGATACAATTAGTTTTGACACTGCCTATCAAAGGGATTTTGAATAAAATTCAGTTGCTGCGATTTACAATCTTATGAAACCTAAAAGAACTTTGGCATGACAGAGCTGTATACTTCCATAATAATCATGATGGTCATAATAATTGTTTCTTGTTAAGCCCTTTTACAGCAAACTGGGCGCAATATTATTAACATTATCTAGGAACATTGAACTATTTTTTTTCTTCAGAGGATAGATGATTGTCAATTGAATATGCAAAATTATTATCATTATACTGTACATAAGCACTTTCCCTCCCCCTCATCTTTCTTCCTCCCCCCCTCTCTCTCTCTCGCTTATCATTGGTAAACATGTTTGGTATATCCATACTTCAATACTTATCAATTTGACTCGTTCCTGTGAAATAAAACTTTACAGTTCGTTATGATTATAAAAGAAAACATATTTGTAAGTCAAATACATTATATTAAACAAAGTCAAGCATTAACGTAATTTTAAAGTTTCGATTGTTGAAAAAGATACCATCACATAAGAAAATACCTGGAGAAAATAATAAAATGTATGATTAATATTTTGGACATCAAAGTCTTGAGCTTACCTCGCTTTTTACAAACGAATACTCAGTCAATAGCTGCAGGAAGATCCAACACAACAGACTGAAACAATTCCAATTCATGACTTCTGTTTCGTTGACAACTGTTCGATCACTGTATAAAGAAACCCCGAAAGAAGTGGGAGTTGCAGCGATGTTGTTTCTCTGAGCTGACGAACGACTGAAGCTGAAGTATTCCCGAGAACCTGAACTCAACTCTCTGCCCTCGATCGGCCCGGGCGGCGCAGACAACACTAAGACAACGATGGGATTTTTAGAGGTTGATTTAAAATTATCCAATTTTAGTTCGCGCCCACGCTTGTACTTCGGGTTGAATATTCCGCGGTGTCGCTTTCAGCTTGTTACAAAGTCTCGTACGATGATTGCATTACTGGCAATGAATGGGTGCCTTGACTAACAATTTGGTAGTTGTATCGATTTGTGTTTTTGCAACATTTCCTCGTCCATTTCCTAGTTTTGAGTAGGACGTCCTGAACGTCATTTCAACAACGATGATGACATTCCGCACCGCACGCCAATTTAAATATCTTGTTTTTTAAAAAGTTAGAAAAGTTCGCGAAAAAAGTTGTGATTATATCCCCTCTCATTTCTCAGCCACTACTATTGCCTCCTAATAACATACCCTGACCCTATCATTTTCATGATCATGTGTTATAAAGCAAAGTACGTTAAACTAGATAGTTTATGAAATCAATAACAGCTATTTTGTTTGATGGTTCCGGATTATTTCTGAAATGCATAATATTTGAACATCATCGTAGAAAATGTTCTCTGAACATAAGGATTGCTCTTCAAATGCCCTCATATTTAAAATATGAGGATACATTATCTAAAACCTGCTCATACGTTTTAATAACACTATTTTGTTTAGACTTCATGTCTTTTCCTGAACCAAGCGATGAATTTGCATGTTGTGGCGGACTGGCGGTTTGGTCTCAAGGTTTCCAAGAATAGTGTTGAAGAAGGTTTTGGCCAACCGATCACACTAATTATAAAACACTTATTTATTCATACAGGAGACACTCGCTATTTCATGATTTACCGTTTTACCAAATTCCACTTGTAGCACTCGTTAAAACCAAATTAGTCTATTTCCCATTACACTATTTCATCTACTTTTCATAGTCAATTACTCGTTTGGTCTATTAGCCGTTTGATCCAAAAAAAAATGATGTTGCTCATGGGACCAAGATGATAATGTGACTCCATTAAATATTTTGTTCAATATGATAATTGACTTTATAGCAAACGAAAATCGGGTATAGACAAAACATGATAAAACACGAGCTTGGTACTAAATTTGCAATACGCCACCTCTCTCACCTCCTTCACTTTCTTATATATACCCATGTAAGAAAGGGAACGGGGCTGGGAAAGAGAAAGAGAAAGAGGTACCAATTAAAAAATGAAGAAGGAATATGAAATAAGATGATACAAACTCTTCCCATAATCCCTCTCGGTCGCTTTTCTCTCTCGCATTATTTTAACAGAGCGTGACTCCTCGGTGACTAGACACCACTACGCCACCATTTGCATTATTATTATTTCTAAACGCTTGATATTTTATTTATTGTTGAGCTGACATTTACTGAGAACTGATGAATAACCATAACATTATTCGTTCTTGTGGACTGGACCCACGGGAGAAATTTAGCAAGTAAATGCAAGCCACGTGTGGTGCATAAATAAATATTTGTGTTCAAATATCGTATTTTCGGACATTAGAATATATAAATTTACCGCAGTTCATTGACAATGTTATTGTTGATCTATTTTGTCTCGCCAAATATCCTGTTCATTTATATTCATTTTCATGTTCTCATTATTGCCCCCCCCCCCTGTGTATTCCTTTCCCCCTTTGTCTTCCGTTCTGACTCTTCAGCTTCTTATTTTATTCTTCTTCTCCCCCTCCCCTTCATTCCTTCATTTTTCTTTAGTATCTGTCTTCATTCGAAAACATAGTTGAAACTACTCCAAATTCACACCAGAACGGAGCTATCCCAAACGCCTGCACTCTTAAAAGAGTGGAGAGTATTTGGTTTGGATTAATACTGGTGAAAGAAGCATATCACAGATTAATGAAGACCTGTTTGAAATAAATAGCGGATTTCCGATTGAGCCACAGTTTCACACATGCACACACACACCCACCTTGCAGCGAAGAATTAATCACATGACCACTTGAGTCCGATCTAAGCCGAAAGTTCCGGCATTCGTTTTTATGACGCAACAAACATTGCCGAAATATTTTGTTTTTGCCATCGTGGGGCTTTACCGTGATGAATCATAATCGTAGTCATCGAAATTGGGTCGATTTGTCATCAAATTGATTTGACATTGAACTGTGATAGATATACTGTTTTGATATGTTTTAATGGATGCGACATATTTTAAATTTAGTTTTATTTTCTTTAGATGAAAGGCACAACGTCAAGTTTAAAGTGAGAGATTTGAAGAGTTAGGGAGAGACACATAGTTAGACACGACGAGATGAAGATATGGAAGAAGGAGAAGGAAAAAGAGAAGAAGAAGAAGAAGAAGATAATGACGAAGATAATGAAGAAGATAATTAAGAAGAAGAAAAAGAAGAAGAAGAAGAAGAAGAAGAAGAAAAAGAAGAAAAAGTAGAAGAAAAAGAAGGAGGACAAAAAGAAGAAGAAGAAGGAGGAAGAAGAAAGAAAAAAAAGGTGAGGAAGAAGAAGGGGAAAAAGAAGGAGAAGACGAAGAAGATAATGAAGAAGAAGAAGATAATGAAGAAGATATGGAAGAAGGAGAAGGTAAAAGAGAAGAAGAAGAAGAAGGAGAAGAAAAAAAAAAGAAGAAGAAGAAAAAAGAAGGACAAAAAGGTGAAGGAGGAGGCGGAGGAGAAGAAGAAGAAGAAGAAGAAAAAGGAGGGGAAAAAAGATGGTTACGATGATAATGATGATGATAAATAAAGGGTAGTAGGAAATGGATCAGGAGAAGAAGGAGGCAGACTCCTGCTCAGTCTTGAATTTCAAAAATACTAATAATTTCAAAGCTGTCTCATTTGCTTATGGTGCATAGTGTAGTTTCAGGACATCAGATACATGTGAATAATGTTTACCTGTTGAATATAAGGACAAATATATATCTAGGCATTGAGCTGGCGAGCTGGCCTGTTATCTTATCTAACCCGACCTTCGATTGTCGATATCGTGTCAAATTATTTCCGTTTGTTTGCACTTTTCGATTCTTTTTGTGAACAAATCGATGTTCTTTTCAAATACCTCGATTATGTCAACATTAGGTGCGTCATAACGAAACATGGTGTTATTTAGTCAGATTTTTTAAGTCTGGTTGTTGAATTGAGGGTCCATGCATACTTTTTAATTTGACGCATTGTTTTTCAGGGCTCGCGGAATTTTGGGTCATTTTTCAATAATATTTGTTAAAGAGAACCTTGTAAATAATGTTGACCTAGATATAGGGATGAGTATTGTATGACAGACAAAGTTTATAATGTGGTGGTGGTGTTTATTTTAACTGACTGCTAACTTTGCTAAGAAAGCATAAATGCTTGTTAGAAAGCAACCAGATGACCGACGGTCTAAGGTCCTCTCCGAGGGACCTAGTAATGAGGAGTAATGCCTTACCAAAGGGCACTAGTGCATCGACTTGGTTTCGAACCCTGGTCGACGGATTACGAGACCACTGCTCTACCAACTGCATGAGCTATCGCGCCTCCTTATAATGCGTGTAAACACGAATAAAACGATGACGACTACCATGGAGTTACTCCATGCGACTACTGTACCTTACAATTAAGGAGGCAAGCTTCCATCCACTCCTGCATGTGGACTTTCTCAAGCCAAGTGATTATTCACGCAGTTTCTTGCCATCTTCTGCCTCGAGATCACTGGGGCGAAGATCGGAAACGGTAGTGTGAATAATCACTGATTCTACTGAGTTTTAAAGCCCCACTGTCCTACTTGTAGCTACTTGCTCCCTCTATATAGAAAACTTTCCCAATCGGTGCATGTTGGTCCCCCATGATCCTCTATTTCTTATGTTATTTGAGAGCTGAGTTGATGAGATAGCCACCTGTCAGTGACCTCGCCGTGTGGTCTAATCCCTCCTAGTCAAACTAGTATTGACGGTCTTAAAGGTTGTTAGAAGCTTAAACTACATTGTTATGATTACCCCTATAACCAATGACAGTTTTCTGTACGTGGACGAATGCTCATTTGCAAATATATATTGGACGAGTAATAAGTCATAATTACTGTTGATCTATTTATTGATTGTGGTGATGAAAGTATGAAAACTCAAATTGATGCGGTTGATTTCGTGGCATTTTCTACAAACTTTTTATGCTCGAATAAAGTTATCGTTTCTATCCCTACATCACTTTCAGATTAGATTTGAAGTTGAAGTAGCATATTTTGTTTGGAAATGTATGAATGTTTTTGTTTTTTTCAACACTCATTCTCATTAAGAAATGTACATACTTGTTCATTCTCTCTCTCTGTCTGTATGTCTGTCTGTCTCCCTGTCTCTCTCTCTCTCTGCATGTGGATCAGAAGTATAAGCTTGTGCTTTTCTCAATACTTCTTTCTTTTCTCTCCTAACTACATTTACTTCCATCTCTCTCTCTCTCTATTCTCCCCTCTCCCTCTCTCTGTCTCTGTCTATCTCTCTGCCTGTCCGTCCGTCTCTCTCTCTCTCTCTCTCTCTCTCTCTCTCTCTCTCTACCACCTTCACCATCTTTCCCTATTTCTCTCCCTCTCTCTTTCTTCCTCGTGCAAGACAAATGCACCGATGAACCAAAGCTAAAAGTGTTATATATTGTGCCTAACATGTAAACCTGAATATTCCAGCCATGGCTGTCTTTCGAGTAAAATTGAATTTGTATGAACCATGTTTGTGCTATAATAAAAAACATTTTTGAATTGAATTTGAATGAGAAAGAATGCCAAGGTGAGACAGGGCGAAGATGTATATATATTGTAATTATAAGCATACGAATATGACAATCCTAAAAATGACTGCAGACTGTGAAACTCTGAAATGTAACGACAGACGTATTTATTATTTTTAAAGTCTTTTTAAAATACTTTGATGGCTACGCTAAAACCTTGTGTGAAATACACGTATTTGGATAAGTGGGCGGACATAACGCACGCTTGTTGTATTTTTAATGAATCCGTCCTCATTTTGGAAAGGAGGTTACGGTATCTGCTGTCGAATTGAACGATATAAATAGGCCCACATTCGCCCACCGAATGATGACTGTACACACTGTGGCAATATTGATAACCCCGATGTTTTCCCCCTTCAAATCCATGAATAGAGGTTCATTGCTGCCCTCTACCTTCCCCCTCCTCTGCTCTTGGCTCTTGACGAATTCTGGATTACATTGATCGGTCGTTCTATCTCAATAAGGTCTGGTAATATTGGTACATTATTGACACGATCGCAAAGACTTTCGAGAAATCAACTCAAGGACAATTTCAATGCCCCATTTATAACCCGTATAATTCAATTTCGGATTACGTAATATTATGTCATTCAATGTTTGGACCTTCCAGCGGGGCCGCGGAGAGAATACAAGGGTGTTTGATTATCCTAAAAGTATTTTTCGAAATTCTTTGCGATCGTGTTATGTTAATTTTTCATCTCATTTCAGCTATCATCAATCACACGACTCTTGAAGAGAAGGTTGAGTTCTGGAAAGCGGTGAAAAATTATTTGTGAGCGTTATCATTGTTGTTATGCAAGTGTGGAAGAACATAAGATGAAACATGTTACCTGAAAAGCATGGCTCTTCAAATGCCTTCATATTCTAAATATGGCATGTAACATCGTAAAAATCAGGACGGATTTTTACACCACGTGTTCGTGTAGTCCCATATACATCTTTCTGTGTACAGTGCGTGTAACTTCACCAAGACTAGGCCAAATATCTTATAATTTGGATGATTCCAGAACCTTGCAATACACACGAATACTTATATACTAGATGATCAACCTTTTCTGGTCGATTCCACACCGTTTCTTTCACAAAACAATCGAATGACCAGAACTCAACTTCATCTCTAACAATTCACCCAAAAGTAAGAACTGACTAAAAACTTCATTTTCATGTTTGTCTGATGAACTTTTTATTGTTCATAATGGCATGACTTTCTTAGCTACTTTGCTCACATTTCAAAGACGATCAAATAGAAGGGAAAAAATGAAGAAAAATATAAACAATGAACATTCTACGATATTACCTTCTTAAGTTATAATTATTACAGGTGAGCAGTACTTTTAAATACGTTTCTCCAACTTTCTCAAACTTATAATTTCTGTAGATTATACGCTCGGTTATACGCAGACAACAGAATAACAATACATTTGACGGTGCCTATATCAAATAATTACTAAAAGAAACTCAAACTCAATTCACCACAGAAAACGTCACACGACGCAAACGAGAAAATCTATTTGGACGGCAACGTTGGTTTAAATATTATAAAGCGTTTTATCTAAAAAACCAAGGTTAAGTACTATAATCACTATTCTTAGCATTCTGTTTTACCTCTTTTACTTCTTAGTTGCAATAACTGTTATATGATAATGATGGTACCAATAATAATAATATTCTTCGTTTATATAGCGCTTAATATAATAGAGATATATTATTACCCCGATTATCGGATTCCGGCTTTCCCCGCATAAAATATGAGCATATTCTCCACTCCCTGGGGATCATTCCAGCCAGGCGATACAATATCAATCGTCACTCATCCCGAGGGTTCCTACAACTTCGATGCACTTTTTTAACGCTTAAAAAGCCCTCCAGCCCCCCCCCCGCCCCTCTTAAATCAAAATTTCAAAAAAATGAGCTGAAATATGAAAACTATGAAAACTATAAAATTGCCCTAGTAAATGCTTGAAAAGGAGAATAAGACTTTATTAATAAAATATTTTTGAAAATTACGATAGGATATTGAACTACGAATGGAATGGGTGTCAGTGTACAGTATATTTTGCCAACTTAAAACGAGACTGTGTAATACATTGTGAATATAATTACGAATATGTGAGAATAGGTGAGAATAAGTGAGACATAAAGATACATCTTCCTTCAGGAGTGTAAAAAATTGATAACTTAATAGAGTTGATGTTTTGTAAAACATGAATGGATGCATACAACACAACATTATGGTAGAACATGAATTATAGGGAAAACGGATAGAAAACGATGAAATTGGAAGGGAACAGATGAAAATAAAAGAGAAAGACTGGGAGAGAGGGAAGAATCATAAATAGCGGTGGGTGAGAATTCATGAACTCCACACAATGTAACTTCATAAAACTAGGCTCTTCAACCACTTCAAACATTTAAAAAATAAATAAATATATCCATATTCTACCCCATGAATCAATATATATTATGACACATCAGTTGAAACAACGCCTCAACGCCCCCTCCCAACCCCCCCCCCCCCCCATGTATTCGAGTGTCTTCATTAAGGATATTCCACTAACTTTGGCAATTCATGTGACATATCATTATAACATCGATGGCCCGATTCATACTCAAATTTAAACCCGTCACTGGGCTTACGCTTTTGTTCAAATTCGGGTTTAACAATGGAAGTTGTGTAGTCTGCAGTCTAAGTTATCCAAAGTCGGATTTAACTTAATAACTAGAATATGACCTGAAGTGTCCTAATTCTTATCGATACACTTATATACTCAAACCAACAAAGACACTTGCTAAAACGACGCTAATACTCTACAAACATCACGAGAAATTGAAATTCTGAAATAAAAATTATGTTATAATTGCCTGCCTTTTAAAAGAACCGACATTTTGCATCCATTCTGATAAATAAAAAAATAAATAATACACTTAATAAATCTCGATTTCCTGGACTACATACGGGCAATAACTGCATATTAAACCAAATCCAATAGCACAGACTTGTAAGACTATTTTAATGTTAACTGTATATACAACTGAGAGCGTCTTTGATTAAAATAAATTAAATAAATGGGTAATAATTCCATGACTATTAAATAATAAACAAGGCAATACATTCATACAATTCTTAACGGTGGTCCATACATCTTTGGCTTTAACACTGGGTGAAATCATAAATCAACCTTACCTCAAAATATAAACAACATTACTGTCATAAATAAACAAACAAACACAAATAATCACCAGTCATGATTAAATTCGAGCGTAGAATCATTTTAGTCCGTGATACATAAGATGACAGGAAAGACTTGATTATAATTATCTTTGGTTTTAAACATTTGTTACGGTATTTAAAAGTTCTGGTAGGTCTTAAGACAGATCCAGGAAAGCAACTGAGCTCTGTCTCCCTCTACCGTTGGAAGAAAAATCGTTAGTTAATGCCGAAGTCACAATGCGTCACTTTGGATGTTCTAAACAGTTCTAGCTCTTTCTACTTCTCTCTTGTTTTTTGGTTTGTTTTTAAAACTCCTAACACATCGGCTAGATTGTCTAGTTTCGCAAAAGCGCAAAAACATTTTGGAAATATTCCAAGTTGCCGTTGCGCAAGATATACTTGCTGCTCTGGCTCAGGCCTCCGCCACGAGTAGAGAACGTGATACGACAAAAATATATATTCTTGATGGCTGAAGTTCGCTTCGAACAAATTGGCCGCGTGAACAACGACACGCACAGAACGTAAAGCGAGTGTCCTAGACAACCTCATCACCACACAAAACAGCACACTACCAAAATGTCTAATAACAACCGAATGGAACAAGTAAGACTGTAGACGATTTGCTCTGAACAATAATCACAACAGGGCAAAATTAATGCACGAGTAAATGCTAAAGCGAACAAAAGTTAAAACACAGTTTCAAATTTGCATAGGAATTCATGGTGGCTTTCAAACTACTTTTACTGAGTGAAAGTAATCTTCACAATGGTGGATTTTGGATAGAGCACCGTTCATGTCATCTACATTTTCATTACTCAGGGGTAATGATGAGCCAGAACTATATATCTCGAGTAAAGAATGGAATATATCATTAATATTGATCAAAACTTCCTTCAAATACTGTTTTGTGTATACCAGAGATTGCGTGTTCATGTTCGGACACTGAACCTTTTTATTTGTTGAGGGGGGGGGGGTGGGGGGGGGGGGGGGGGTAGTGTAGTTTATCGCAGCCATAAGCCTGAGGAAATGTCAAGTACTGCTTAGAAAGTTTAGGGAAATTAGAAATATGATTTAGATCACCTCATCATCTCTTTTGTCGTTCCTTGGCCTGGTTGTAATGATCCTCAGTACAACTTTTAAATTTTAGTTTAATTTAACTAATACATTTAAAATATTGCATAATGGAGAATTCGATTAATTACTAATACCCTGATCAAAAATTATATTATTTTCATGATATTCCGAAGGCACCGATCACCCGGTTATTATAAAATATCACGTAAATGTATATATATAATTTTATATGGATTACTCTGTGATCATAAACGTTAAGTATACATGATACTGTACTTCGTCGACTTAGCCACTACATGAACGCAAATTGTGCGACAATGCATTATGACGTCATGTCAAGTATTATGACTTAGCTTTGAAATGTGCGTGTGCGTATCATCGTAAAATCACCAGCCACGTCATTGTTGGTAATGATGACAATTATGGAAATATGGAAGTATTGTATGCACGATAATGTAATATCTCCTTAAATTAAAAATACATTTTTTTTTAATACAGATTTCGAGAATGCATATGTGGAGCAAGATTTCTTCAAAATCACACAGTGATCATAATAAATAGTTTCTTATTCCTTCCAATCTCTTCCTCTTCTTACTGTTGTCTTGTATTCACGGTTTTCTTCGTTTTATCTTTGACGAATTTCAAATGATGATAACGATAGCCTGAACCAGGTTCTCGAAATTCTCCAAAAGTGGCAGGAAATATCAATATAAACTTAAAAGTAAAATGTCGGGTGGGATAGTGTGAGGTAGAATCAAAAGTTTGTTCACCTTGGCATGTGTCATTTGAACTTAATATGTGTCATTTAGACTAAATGTAAGCAATTACTGGAAGTACATGTACATATATTATTTCATGATTCATACGACATATCGTACATTAAGCATAACAACCATCCTCTTTTTTTTTAAAGATAAAGCAAACAATTACATGTAACTACAACCTCCGCTTATGTACACTAACGTGGCACCGTTTTCAGTATAAAAACCATTAATTCAGCAAAGTAAGATTTCTAGTATAGGAATCTTTAATTGCACTAGAGATTAGGTATCATTAAAGGCACCTAAGATAAAATCTTCATCATAATATCACCTCACACATTTTAATAAAATGTATTTCTTAGAATAATAAGAATCACCGTCTACGAAGAGTTGCACACACCAATCGCAGTGCCCCTCTCGCATATTGACCCTCTATGGTAGTGCCCCTCCCTCTCCCCACTATATGAACGTTTAAATAACAACGTAACCAATTTGTATCGAACTACACTTTTTACATGACAAATGGAACACGAAACACAGCATGGAAAATCGATTAAATAATAACATGATGAAATATACAATATGCAAAGCAATAAATGTAAAGCTCAGACTCTCTGAATGTAAAAGAAGTTTAACAAAACTTTAGATGAATCAACACCCCCCCCCCCCCCCAGTCCAGAATCTGGCCGATTAAATTTTTACGATCTCCACTAAACAAGATGGATCATTACACCTACTCGCTGCAGGCCGAAGATGGCGTGAGTCCCGAATTTGTAAGCTACGCCCAGCAAGCCAAAACGAAATAACAAAAATCGATCGATTTCACACAGATTATCGGCTTGCAACGGGTAGGGGAGAGATCGCGGAAAAAGAAAGAAAATAAAACCTGAACAGATTCTGGACTACCTCCAACAGCCCCTACCATTCGTTTTAATAATGTGGGCTCTTTCTTTCTACCACTTGCGCACAGAGTAGTACTATCCCAACCTTCTTCCTCGATTTGATCTCTTTATCGGGAGTATATCTGCACATTTTTTATACCCCCTTACCATAAGTATAATGCGCCCCTTTTCCTTTAAATCGGAAGAATATCCTGCTCCTAATATTATGTTGATCTATTATCTGGAGTATGATCCTACTCTCTTTCCCCATGATAGATAAAATAAAATAAAATTCTTTTCCACCATCATCACACTCATCGGTAGAATAATATAACTCCATTTTTATCCCGCCTGGGAATATAGTTTTCTCATCCTTAAACCTGATCAGGTGTTAGTACTCCGACCTATCCCAATTCAGGGATAAAAAAGGTCCCTTCTTTCCCCCAAACCATATCTCCTGCCCACACCCGTCCCTTCCTTTCCCTTCTTGGAGTTGATGTAAAAAAAAAAAAAAAAAAACTCCCTCCTTCCATGATCGAGATTTAAAAATCTCCAGTTTTTGGCACCAAAAACCAGAAGTATAATACTCCTTGATTTCTTAATAACTCAGGAGTATAATAATACCCCATCTTATCCTAAAAGCGAGAGAATAATCCTCTCTTCTATCCTAAAAACAGAGAGAATAATATTCTCACTTATATCTTACAAACCGGGAGAACAAATACTCCCGTCTTCTCTTACCGCAACACAAATCAAAATCGGGAAAAACATATTCCCGTCTTTTTACAACCCTTGCCGTTATAACACCGATAGCATAACTTTCGCTTCTAACTTACACACGTAAATCGGGAGAACAATATTCCCGTATTAACTAACACCTATCGTCTCGAAACCAGCAAGTTCCTTTCTTTCCTACCAGTTACCAGCCGGGAGAAAATACTCCTTCCATTGTCCTCTCCTCCTGTCCAAATCTCACGCGTACATCTGTTTGATGGAGTCGAGCTCCACGTCTTTGCCGAATCCGCTTTTGGGATTCTTCTTGCCTTGAAACTGTCTCTCTTTGTTCTCCCACTGAGAAGTCGGGCGGAGGAGAAACATGAATCGCTAGAAGGAAAGAAAGAAAATTTACAGTTCAAAGAACATAATGTTACAATTTGGAAAACAGAAAAATTATATGCTTTTCCTTGTACAAAAAAAATATGAGAGTATGTTTCTTATATTTAGGTAAATAATGAGATAGTTTATTATGCAAAACCTTCCGAATTTACAATCAACAGGATATTAATTTCCTTGAGATAATTTCTTAACTTCTAGAGTTAACTAAATGTTTAAAATCTTACCGCGCATTTTTTTTCTTCTTCTGTGTATGCTTGCTTCAAGTCTAATGGATTCTATTCACGTATTTACATTAATCACGACGAAATTCTTATTTATATACGGCTGATGCATATCTATTGAATTGTGTTTCGTACTGCTAAAATGAGATATTTCAGGAATGTTTTGCTTGCTTTTGCATCGAAATGTTAAATAAATAAATAAATGTTGGTTTTGTAGCGTGTTCTGCACAAGTACGCACATTTTGTAAAATAGGGAAGCTTCATAGATTGTAAGACCTCTGGTCATTTCCTTCTTCTAATTGCCTTGTTAAACTATATACTTCTCTTACCTGAGCATAAGTCTCTCCTTCCGAAGCAAAGAATAACTTGATGATCATCACGAGCGGGATCGTGAACAGAGGTACCACGGCCATGAGCCAGCCGAGCATCTCACTCCATTTGGGGTAAACGTAGTCCCCAAAGTAAACGGGAACGTAGTTTACCATTCCAAAGACCGAGATGAACTAAGGGAGTGAAAAATTTAAAAAAATACAGTACGGCTTTAACAATCAAAATCATTCGCCCACCTCAAAGAACTTTTATCATTTAACCTTCGCCTTTCGAGTCAGTAGCTGTTTAAAATTCGAAATTATTTTGTCTTTCTTCAGAAGTTCCCTTTCCGATCTCCGACTTCTACTATTTCTATTTTGAAGCACCGTGAAAAAACGAAAATTGTTGATAATATTTTCACATCTTTCCAGAGTTGGTAAAGTTCGTACGATACACTTCATACAATGCACATGTTTCTATCTCTGAGTACGTACGGTATAGATCTCTTCTTCAGAAAGTTCCTTAATAATTACTGATTTTAATTTCGAAGTACACAAGTGTTGTTGATAAGATTTCAAACGAGTAATACTAACCACGATAATGGAAGGAGTAATAACCAACCAACAGCTACTATACCAGTAGAGTAGCGGAGTGACTACAGGTGTCATCCACGTATAGTCAGCAATCATGCGTCTGATATCATTCGTGAAACGACGCACACCTAGAACATAAGAGAAAATGAGAGATAATAGATGTGATCGAAATGCAAGTGCTAAATATTCTAATAAAAAGGGTTGGGGCAGACCGCCCCTAGTCGACCCGTTATATTATGTTTTCCCCGACGCGTAACAATATTTATAATCGTCGTCGCACCATCCTATAGACGTGACATTTTCCACAGTAGTATAATAAAATAAATGAATAACTACCGTACTAAAAGGCATCTTACATAACTCTAAAATCAAAAAACGAAAGTTTCTTTAAATACGGACACAGCCGATCAGAATTGTGCGTTAGCTATGTGTTTGATTTGTTCGTAATGTTGAACTTGCATGAGTTCTGACCGTATAATAATAATAAATAATAAAAACGTTACTTATAAAGCGCTTACCACCGAAGTCTCTAAGCGCTATACACACAAAATAGACTGATATACAATTACATCTTATACAAAACTAAAAATATACCATGTAGCGGGCTCATACCCGAAACACAAAACGCCTCAACAGCATATACGTAATCGATCCAGTTGCCTGAGCTAAACCCAGGGTAAACATTATCAAATTACCTTTGGAAACGGATGAATACAGTATTGGGGTACGAATATTACCATTTATCAAACAGAAATTAGGAAAACAAATCTTGAAGTAAATGTTTAGAATGATTGTGATGATAACTTACCGTAGAAGTAAGCAACAGCCACACACTCGAACACGCCCACCAACATGAGGGATATCCAACAACTGTACCAGTTGATCAACTCAAACATATAAATTCCTCCCTGTATAGAAGGAAAACAAAAACATGGTGGTTACATGTGGTTTTCCGATGGATAATTTTCCGAAAAATGATAAAGGCATCGTAATTCCGACATTGAAATAGGATTCTTGATTCCATAAATGAAATGGGGTTCATGATTTTTAGAAAATGAAATAGGCTACGTATGAAGTCCGAAATCAAAATAGGGTAGTAATTCCAAAACCCAAACAGGGCAAGTTATTCCGTACACGAAACGGCGTACGAAATTCTGAAAACGAAATAGCGTACGTAATTCCGAAAACGGAAGAGGGTACGTAATTCAGAAAACGAAATAAGAACGTAATGCCGAAAACGAAACGGGGTAAGGTATTCCGAAAACGAAATAAGGTAAGCAATTCCGAAAACGGAAAAGGTTATATTATTTTTATTTGTAAATAATTAAAGGTTCATAATTCCGAAAAAGAAATGGGTTTCTTTATTCCGAAAATGAAATATGGTTTGTAATCCCAAAAAATAAGAAAAGGTTTAAAATTCTGAAAATTGAAAGGGTTTATAATTCGGAAATGAAATATTTAAGGTATGTTATTCTGAAAAAGAAATAGTGTAATTTCGAAACTACGAACGGTTTTATAATTCTGGGGCATTAATGACATACCTGGGAGGCCATGGGTAGTCCTAGAAGAAAGAAAACGACACACACTACGAGGGCTGTTAAGGTGCCATGTTTTCTCAGATGGTTGGGGTAGTAATCCGTCAGTCCACTCACAACCGTCTCCACCATCCCAAACTGTTAAACAAACAACCGATAAAAGCAAAGAGAAGGTTGAGTTCTGGTGAAGGTGAACGATAAGTTGTAATTTGTTTTTTTATTCATCTTAAGTTTGTGTGGAAGAGGATCTTTGAAAGAAATGTCCCCTGAAAATGTTGGCTCTTCAAATGTCTTCCATATTTGAAATATGACAAAAAATAGTGTTAAAAACCAAGCCATAGTTTTAACTCGGATCCGAAAACTTAGCAGGCAATATTTGTTTATATTCCGCATCACCGGTGCCAATTATAAACAAAAATATATATATTAACACAATGTGCCTGTCGAAGTGTATTGATTTGAAACGTCCAAGAAAATATACCCGACGTCTAAGAGCATTGCTCATATCCATTGTTAAATTCACGCGCGCAATTATTGCGTCCATGCATTGTATGCTCAAGTAGAACTAAACCCGGTCAATACTTTGCGCTAAACTGCCCAGAAGTTTTAAACCAATCACAGGCCTAGAATCGTTACATGCGGTTTATAAAAATAAATATAATATTAAGTACACTCGCAGATATTTAAAAAAAAATGAGAAACAGCGGCCACGATTAATTACCTGTGTATCAAGTCCAACAAGGAAGAACATGAAAAAGAATAGAATGGACCAGAAAGGGGCTGCAGGCATCTGGGAGATTGCTTCCGGATACGTCTCGAAAACAAGACCAGGACCTGTGAAACAAAGTCCCAAACAAACCAAGTTACACTTCTGTATCTTTCGGATACATTACCGCTTTGTTTGACATGAAACAATACCTTACTATTTCTAATGTTATTCTGTCATCATAGTTACGTTTTGGATAATGAAATGATAGATAGATAGATAGATAGATAAATTGTATTTATTGATTCATTTCCATGTATCGCAGTTACAAGTAACTGAACATTTACATCAACATCTTGAGTCACTTCTGGCCAATCATAAGAAGATATCCACTGTCCAAACGCCCTTATTGCACTATCTGTCATGGGTCTGTTGAATACATAACGAGTAGTATTTGGTAATTTAGGTTTGATTTTAAGAGGAAACCACATAATTGAATTGTGGTCAGACATTCCAATAGGAGAACAAATCTGTGGTTTATCATAAAACTGATGAATATTAGTGATAATCGTATCTAAAATGTGAGTAGGGCAATCAACGACTTGACGAAATGAGTGGGTTAAAAGCACCGGATCAATATTCATTCGATTAAAATCTCCCAATATTACAAAACCTGCATCCGTATGATTAGTTAAAATAACATCAATAGTTGTTTCCAAATGATCTATGAGTTCTGTCTCAAGTTCAACATCAGGCTGAGGGTAATATACGACTGCACAGTAAATGCAGGAGATGGATCTTGGAAGACGAGGAGGGCGTATCTTCACCCAAGTCACTTCAAGGTTTATAGGGACTTGGACATCGGCTGGAGAAGGATTAAAAAGTTCTCTCACGTAGATAGCTACTCCACCACCTATACGATTAGTACGTGATTTAGTGCAGAGATAATAACGCCCATGCAACAAAGGGTGCCCGAGTCGCTTTCATTAAAACGCATTCCTAAGGAAATACACTCGAAGCATTCAAAATCATACATATTCATGATATAATGTACACGTCATCAGACAAAATTGGGATGATATTGACCTTTGACCGCGACGTTGTCAATGGAGATACCGGTCTTATAAGACATGAACCCTAGCGTCGAGAAGACGACGAAGCCTGCGTAGAAACTACTCAAGCAGTTGATGATCGGGATACAGATAGCATCTCTGTAATGAAACAAACAGTATGACGATAAAGGTCATGACGTCATCAAAAATAAAATGGCGTTCATAATGTCGGAAGATGGTTATTTCGTGGAGTAAATATCCCAGTCTTACCGACGAAAGCGCAACTTCTAAATTCAGAAAAATAGAAATCGTGGTGTGTTACCGATATACTTTGCGTTGTGTACATTTGTTTTCTTTTTTGTTTGTTACCTAAAACATACCTTTTAAATAACAAGAGGAGCTAATTATCAGACGAACTTGCAATTCAGGAAATCAAATATTGAGAATGTAACGACATGCATGTATCCTTTCCTAAAATCAATAAACTTCCGATCATTGCCTCGCTATTCGGCGTGTTCACACTAAACAACTAAGAGATTTATGATATCATTAATACAGGTACTCACATAAGACAGTTATTGTTGAACTTGTTGTAACTTGAGAAGGTGAGAACTCCGCCCCACGCAGGTCCCAAGGAATAGAAGATCTGAGTTGCTGCTGCTCCCCATACCTTCAATAATTAACAGAAAAGAATAAAGCTTATTAAAAAGAAATCACATTTAATAAGCAACACCTTCACAAATTAATGTATTATTTATCTTGTATACAGTAAAATCAGATTTCTTTCAGTTAATTGTTTCATTCATTTGTAAATACCTTAATGTTCAGTTATTAATGTAACACAGAACTTTTTTCTGCCTTTTATCGAATCACACACAAATAACAAAAATATCTAATAGTTCTTTTGTTATCGCTCATAAAACAAAGTGAAATCAATAGGTTTTATTTACAAGCTTTACGTGCAGCACTTTTTACATGGGATCATGAATTTCGTGATAATTAATTCAATCTCATGCCGTTGAATGCAGCGAAGGAAAGAAATATTGATTGCTAAGAGGCTCGGGGCTCAATTCCCCCCTCCCATTCAACAAAAAATCAAGACCCCCTTCCCAATTTTTTTAAAACCAACTATAAATAAATTCAAGTGGGGCACTGTAGGCACATACTAACATGAATGTAAAATCCCCAAGGCTTTTCCTCACAAATAAAGAGAAATATATACTTCAAGAATCGCGCTCAATTGATATAACTTACAGCAGTTTCCTTCAGTTTCTCCCAGCGAGGGGAGAGGTAATAGTCGATCCCGATACTAGCTCCAGGTAGAGTTACCCCTCGTATGAGGAGGATAGTTAGGATTATATAGGGAAAGGTCGCAGTGAAGTAGACCACCTGTTTTGAAGAAGAACAAAAATGATTGCAACGTGAACTGAAGACGAAGCATTCATTACAGATACATCTTTTCAATTTTCTGTTCAGTATCTGTTCAATTTTGTCTTATTCACTAGTTTTTTGGAATGTATATATATTTTTTTTTTGTATTTAAAGGGCCCCAATGAAAACCAGTGTACATGCTGGCCGGGCTACACTTTTTTAAATATGTGAAATAAATAAATTAATAAATACAAATCTTTCTATATTCATTACCGTTTCGTTGTTACTTCTGTTAAATATAGTTTGGGTGCTGAAACATTTGCGTCTTTTAAAGTCGTTTAAAATAAAAAGGAAAGTAGGTTATGCAATTCTTCTTGCATAATAGTCGTGAGAATTACACCCGTTTCGGCAATGATTTTCCTTACCTTTCCGGAGCTCTTCACGCTCTTGCAGATGCAGCAGAAGATGACGATCCAGGAGAAAAGCAGACACATCACCAGTTCCCACTTCATGGATCCCATGTCGTCCAGGTTGTGACCGTCCACATCCAATACGTAGTTACTGAAGGTAACAAAAGAAGGAGGTATTATTAATATCAAAATGTAATCCCACCGCTGCCACCAGTTTTAAGACACACACAATTCAGTCGTGCATGTTTCAAGACTTGAGGTGCACTGACTTGTAATTTCAGTTTAATACATCTTCCAAGATGGCTGTCAAGATGGCCGACATGTTTACGATATAAGTTTGATATTTAACTTATTTTGTAGGTTTATTTTTATACATATATAAATAGATACAAAACGCAAAAAAATAATGAAGAAAAGAAGATTCTTGCTTCATATCTAACGGCTTTATTATTGTATTAGGCCACAAATTTTCGATGTACATTACGTCTTTATCAATTCATTAAACTCACGCACACATATACACACACACACCCACACACACACACACACACACACATATATATATATATATATATATATATATATATATATATATATATATGTATATCTATATATGTATAATGTATGTATGTATATGTTACTGTAGCTTGCCGGCAAAGACGTCATTCTTTTGTTGGACAGAGTTGAGCTTATCGCGCTAAATCCCTTGCTCCAGTGGTCGTAATTAGTGTACGAAAGTAACTTAACTATCAAGATTTAACAAACCTTCGTCGAATGGATAATTGACTTCTCGCATTCAAATCAGAAATAAGGCCCAACTGCATTCTGCACGATAAATTGCAGTTGTGGTTGCTCATTGTTTTTACATTTAAGCCTCTTATTTCGTTCATTAACTCACTCACTCACTCTCTCTCTCTCACTCTCTCTCTCTCTCTTTGAAGAAGATAAACGGTCCCCCTCGTGTACGTACTAGTAAAACTCCTGGGCCGGTCGCTTAGTGATGTTCAATCCCATCTCCATAGCAACAGATGAGTTCTCCTGACACGCGTCCGTGTTCCACGTGTTGTTGCATGTTTTCCAAGGACTTCCGATGTGAAGGAACGCACGAAGAAGAGCGCGGTCCACGCCATGATGATGTTGTAGTAGATGGCCACCATGCCGGAGATCATCACCATGGCCCATCCGATACCTGCCATACGTAACAATAAGAAAGGAAAAAGAGAAAAAAAGTATTGAATTTTAGGCTGAACCCGTTCAAATCCCGCTGGTTCCGAAACTTTTTTCTGACTTGTGTTTAATTACAAGATCGAGCACGCGATCTTTATTTACTGGGTGCAAGCAGAAATTTCCTTACAAATTGAAATCACTGGATGAACACTTGCTCCTGTGCCAATCGCTCCGCGTCAGTTTCCTGAACTTGAACCCTGAAACTAACACTATATCTTACCCTAACCCTAAATATAACCTATAACTCAATCGCAACCCTAAAAATAACACCGCACCTTTGACGAATAAGAAACCCGTAGCAGTTGTCGCGGAAGAAATGTTGGGTCACTTAAGAAATCACGTCTGTCAAGAGTAAATTTATTAAAAGTACCGATAGAGTACTATATTCTTTATCTCATATCCCACCAATAATAGAGTCGACCATTATTTATGAAAAACGAAACAAAACAAAACAACATCCAACGTTTAGTGACTTTCTTCATTGATTGGAAATACCTAAAGCTTAATGACGTTCACAGCGTATTTATGAATTTTAATAAATGTAATTATGAAGACATCAAACACCATCCTTTTTGTAAAGGTAAAGACCAGTTATGGTCATGCGATTGCATTGTGAAAGAAACGTTGTGGAATCGATCAGAAAAGGTTGATCATCTAGCATCTAGCATCTGCAAGGTTCTGGAATCATCAAAATGATAAGAAATTTGGCCCATTCTTCGTAAAGTTACAAGCACTATACACAGAAAGATGTATATGGGACTACCCTATATCTCTCACAGACCATGAGAGAAACAAATTTACCAATATATGAATTAGTAGGCGGTTTCCTGGCAAATTTTTTATCATCATGTATTAGTCAAAACATATTCTTTCACATGATTGGTAATGAGAGCTTCCATTTCATTTTTTGAAATTGAGGCGTTTCCAATACTGGTCTTTACCTTTAAGGAAGGACGCTGATATAAAATGCTATACGGACGAAATAAGTATTTAAAATACTAATTTCATAAATATTACTTTGTTTAATGCTACAATGACGCGATGGATAATTTAAAATAGTAAAAGTTTCATAAATGGGCAGGAGAAACACAAAATGTTCCAGAAAGAATGTAATTGAAATCAAAATCAAATTACCGGTAATAAAAGGTTCGGCGGATCTTTGCGGGAACACTTTGTATATACCCATGACCCTTCATCACCCTTCCAGCTTATCATTTTTTGGATTGGCCCCTGTTAAGCTACTCGCCACAAAATTCATATAAATATATAATAAAACACATCTCCGAGATGAATGAGCCCATTTCTACTAGGCGCTGTTAAGCTTGTTCGCGTGAGAATAGTGATTGAAAAAGGGAGAGAAGAGGCTGAAGAGCAACAAATAAATTGTTTAAATCCCTTCCTGCTCCGAATCAAGTAGTAAAAGCTTTTTCATGAATTTTAATGACAAGAGAACACTGGTGGGTATGTCGTTGACGGTACAGTGGCGTAGCCATGGGGGTGGCCCGTATGCCCCTAATCATACTTACGGGGAAGTGGAAACATGCCCCGAAGAACAGAGGAAGGGAGAAGGAGAGAAAAGGGGAATCAGGCATATTTCATTTCATTTCATTTCATTTCATTTATTTATTTAAACACGGTAACTCTCTCAAGCTAAACGGTTGTTTTTCAGAAAGTCCGTGTTGAATACACTTTTCTCCGCACGATCGCTACTTTCACTCGCATATCATCTAGTTACACCCGCGCTACCCCTTTCACCTACGCCCCCAGGCCCCCCCCCCCCCCCCACCACCACTCTCTCTTTCTCTCTCCCCCCCTCAATGACTTGATAAAAACTCCGCCTCTAGTTCGTTGTAGCATAACCGTTTGTGTGCTCCACCCCTTTGTGATTTATTGGAGTAGGAAGCAGACGACGACCATTTAGATGGAAATTGCATATTTTAATGGTAGTTTTATGTTGATGGTAATAAAGTTTGCTCCTGCCTGTGGATTCTGGAATAATTTATTTCACTAATACCTGTGAATCTTATTTATTTGAGCGTCATATTTGCCAGGGTCCAATATCCGAGGGAAAACAAAAAACGAATATCCTTTTGGGATTTCTTCTCCTTCAGGGGTCAATGTAAGTTTCTAGATAGGCTTGACATACATTTAGGCTCCACAAAAAACAGAAGGTTTTATTTCACAATTGAAGAAACCCAAGGTACCAATTTGATTGTGTCATCACAAGATTCCCTTTAAAGCACCGCTGTACTACTTATAGCTACTTGCGCCCTCTATATAGCAAACAATGCCTAATCGGTGCCTGTTGGTCCCCCATGATTTTCTTTTTCTTATGTTAACTGAGACCTGATTTGATGAGATAACCACCTGTCAGTGACCTTGTATGGAGGTCTAATCCACCTGGCCAAACTAGTACAGACGGGCTTTAAATTACAAGCGATGTCCCTGATTTGCAATTGTTTGTTTCTGTTTCATAGCATTTGATAGTCTATACTCTCTCTATTTAATATACAAATCCTTCATCTGTCCTCTGAAAGTTCCAAGAGTTATTTTGACACTTGGACCTGAATGACCCTGGCGTTGCCCTGTAAATCACTTAACTCTGATTCAGCAGTACAGCACGGAAGTTATCAATTTGTTCTCTTCACCTCGCATGTTCCGGTCTCATACAAACCGAACCTATTCCTCTAATGCAAGTGCATCTAAGGGGAGGGAGGGAGGGAGGTTGGGAGGGTGGGTGGGGGGGGGGGGCGGGGGTAATGTATAGGTTTTTGTTACTGCCTGCATGGCAAAGAATTACAGGTATACCCAGACGTTGTGTGTCCGGACAGCTAGTGTACACATGTATCTACACAGTCGATTTAAAACGGCAATTTGAAAAAGTTTACAACCAATTATTAATTAATCTTCTAAGATTTATGTAGGACAATATCACACAAGACAGTTCTTCCTGATGGTTAGAGGACAGAAGTATTTGATGAATATTTTCCCGTTAAAATCCGAAAAGAGAAGTCTTTATGTGAGTCCAGACACCCAACCCCATCATAATATAGTATTTGAGACTTTAAAGGAGCTATGGCGCGAATTTAAAGGCACTTAGACATGTATGCACGTTCCACATGAAGCGTCATTAGGGACTTTCAGATCCCTTTTAAGGCATGTGACGTCCTTTTAAGGCACTGGCAGTGACGTCACATTGCCTTAAAAGAGCAGTCCACGTTCTCGTCGTGCAGACTTTAAAATCTCTATTATCTGACGTGGCACTGCGTCAACAACTGACGTGGTCTTCGACGCGTCTTGCTAATGACATTGATATACTGTAGTACAAAAAGTAAATGCACACTGAATAGAGCACATATAAATGCGTCGAATTACTGGCTTATGTAATATGCGTGTGCCTTGATAAATCTGATACGCGTAGGTAATAGCGTTCGTACTCGACGGAAAATCTATATCCCGTCGTCTTTGCTTCCGTCGTGTTTGCGAAAGCGCTCTACTAACGCATTCGAAACAACGGCAACGGACACCAAGGTAGTCAAGATAAAACAACATCAGTCAAAGAATTTCATTAAAAGGTAGAACATTGAATTATTGAAGGCTGTCTTTCTCAGGACGTGTTTGCCTTACTCAAAAGACAAGACAATTACGGCAAATTTCATAATTTGCACACAAATTATGTAGCATAGTTTTCACCGTCTTTGGATGCTAACGAGATAACATTTGTGCAATGGACATGTGAGAATTACACCTTAAATAAACAAGTGCCAGCTTCAACATCCATTAAATATTGCATCTATTTTTTTTATCAAAAGGTCACTGGCTTCTAAAACCCTTTAAATCATTCGTCCTCACTTCATTATGAGAATCAATAGCATGGTACATGTAAGCACTCAATCCCATCATCTCTCCTCATGAATAGATGTCAACCCGGAGGACACTAATGTACACGCTTTTCAATCGACCTTTTTTTAAAAACCCGAAACGGGGTCGATTAACTGCCAGTCGTGATGTATTACTTGCTCAACAACAAGAAATATATACATGCTCTTCCCGCTATAGATGTCATTTGAAATGTTGTGATACTGCAATTCATTTCTCAATAAAATATCATATCACTATCAGAGTTCTGTTCTATACTGAGAATTTTCTTTCAACTCTTAATCTCGTTTCGAAAGAGAAGCGTAAGAAGAACTCATCTAAAATGAACTTGACAAAAACAAAGTCAAAGACAAGCCATTTTCATAAATTTATCATCTAGTATTGAATGATAAGCGACGTGATTTGGAAAAATTTACACTCATTCATCTAAAAAATTAAACCAACAAAACACTAAAACAATAACAACAGATCGGAAACTGATTTTGCCTAAGTATGACATGACACAATCTAAGCATGAATTACAACAGTATTAGACATTTAAAACAAATATCTTACACTAAACGAATTTCTTATGAACCCCAGACCTAACCAGAAACCCAATCGCAACCAGGCGCGTACACAGGGTAATTTTTTGTGTGTAAACCCCCTCTAAATTTCTCTAACCCCCCCCCCTTTTTATAAAAAAATAAAAAAAATATTTCCATGGTTGACCTAAAAAAGCTGACCTTACCCCCCCCCCTCCCAACGGAGCAAAATGTCAAATTTTCAAATTTCGAGACCAAAAAAAAAAAGTGTCCTCTTACCCCCCCCCCCCCCCCCCCCCCCCCCCGCTTATTCAGCGGTAACAACAGATCGGAAACTGATTTGCCTAAGTATGACATGACACAATCTAAGCATGAATTACAACAGTATTAGACATTTAAAACAAATATCTTACACTAAACGAATTTCTTATGAACCCCAGACCTAACCAGAAACCCAATCGCAACCAGGCGCGTACACAGGGTAATTTTTTGTGTGTAAACCCCCTCTAAATTTCTCTAACCCCCCCCCCCTCCCTTTTTATAAAAAAAAAAAAAAAATATTCCCATGGTTGACCTAAAAAAGCTGACCTTACCCCCCCCCCTCCAACGGAGCAAAATGTCAAATTTTCAAATTTCGAGACCAAAAAAAAAAAAGTGTCCTCTTCCCCCCCCCCCCCCCCCCCCCCCCCCCCCCCGCTTATTCAGCGGTCGGCTGAGTCGTTGCGATTTTTGTTAAAAGCCCGAGGCAATCGTAGGAGCAAATGTCGGGTGACGCAAAAAGTATAATGTATTTCGCGTAATAACATAATCTCCATCATTTTGAACATGAACAGAACTAAAGATGAATTACTATAAAACCATTTACAAATTAATTATTTTGAAAAAGACAACAAAAATATTCCATAAGTTCCAAAAGTATATAAACGAACAGCAATTTGTTTTATCATCTTCTAGAATAAAGTTACTGCTCTGCTTTGGGGACGACGGGGAGAGGTTCGGGAGAGGAACGGGGGAGAGGTTCGGGGGGAGAGGTTCGGGGAGAGGTTCGGGGAGAGGTTCGGGGAGAGGTTCGGGGAGAGGTTCGGGGAGATTCGGATCAATTCGGAACTAACTTGACATCTTAAAGGTAGAGAGTGGACTCACCTGCAAACAGTGGACATGCCTTCCAGATGGTGATTGGACCTTCCCCTCCATACTGACCGAAGGCCAGCTCCAGGAACATCAGTGGCATACCGGCCAGGAACAGCATGATGAAATAGGGGATGAGGAATACCCCTAGGGAGAAAAAGAAGAGACAAAAAGAGACATAAGGTGACGCAAAATTCATGCTAAGACATTGAAATATTAAAGCCTGTCTGCACTAGTTGGCCAGGAGGGATTAGACCTCCCTGCATTAGTGCATAGTCATCAAATCAGCTCTCAATTAACATACGAAAAAGGACATCATGGGGGACTAACGGGTATCGCTTTAATATGCATTGTTTGCTATATTGTATAGAGGGTACATGCAGGTACAAGTAGTAGTGCAGTCCCCCTTTAAAGGCTTTTGACAATTCATCTGCTTATAGAACCAGAAATTAAAGGCGTTAATCGTATATCATTGTACAACGAGTTAACGCCCTTCTGGCGTATAAATTGGTAAACCGCAAACCATTATTCAGATTTGTTTTCTTCAATCTAATAAGCAAGAAATCTATCGTATTATTTAAAGGGATCCGGTAACTTTGTCTCAGATTCTGAAACAAAATTCTGGATTTAGCTCATGATGCAATGATAATTATAAATTTTTAGGTCAGTCAAGAACCCCATGACTTTTACCAGCCGAACGCCTGTCTTATTATCAAGATATTTATGATTGGAATTACAAATTTTGAAAACCGTTCGCCTGACGGTTTTCATAACACTACAGTCTATTAGGGAAACGAGTATGGTAAAACCGGTCACTCAAAGATTTTTACTTTTTTGAGGCACTTCTTGATCATTTTGAAGCGCGATTTTTTTAGGGCTTCAATATTACACCATATCACAGACACTAATAACACGTAGGGCCGTGTATCTCAGATTTAACAATGTTAAACGATCCCTTTAAGTGTCTTTCTCGGCAAAGAAATGAAATGTTATTCTTATCGTACCACAAACGCGACGAAGATTATATTAGTTGTTTTTAAATATATATAATCAACGACTAGTTTTAATACTTAAACATTGTATTTGAAGTACAAAATTAATAAATTATGTCTAATTGAGAAGTTGTTTTATTAGGCAGACGGAGAGGGGTAAGGGCACAGTCGGCCCGTGCCCAACCTCTTTTTATCATTTTGTTTTAAACTGTTAATATAGAGTCCTAGATCTGCCACTGCTTCTCGGGTTCAATTTTATTGCCCCAATTCTTTGACCCTTATTTCACCCTACATGTTGGCCTTTACATTAAAGATTAATTAACACTCTGAAATGACCAACTGATAAAAAGAAGATGAAAGTCCCATATAATGTCACAATTGAGGAAATCAACCGAGGTTTATGGCATGATAAAAGTTGAACTTGTGTCATAAAATACTAGTGGCGCAGCGTCGGGGGCACGGGGGCATATTCCTTCTCCTTCTCATCCCCCAATGAATGACAACTTTGAGGAGAGGAGAAAAAGAGATTTGAAAAGAAGAAGGAAAATGGAAACCTGAAAAGAAGATATAGGTACAACAGTCACTACGACCCCTTCATACCGTATCCGGATACCTATCCCCTGGACATCCAACCCCCGATACCCCCCCCCCCCCCCCAGTCAACTACCCCCTAGGAAAACTACCCCTTAGGGCAACTACTCTCTAGGACGACTACTCCCGGGACAACTACCCCCAGACAACTACCCCTAGGATAACTACCCCATGACAACTACCCCCTAGGACAACTAACCCCGGACAACTACGCCCTATATGACAACTAGTTGTCCGGGGCTTAGGTGTCCTAGGGGGTAGTTGCTTGGGGTGGTTATCCGGGGTGGATGTCCATGGGGTAGGTGTCCTAGAACACCTTCATACATCCTCCTCCTAATTAATGACCTCTTGTATTTGCATTCCATGAATCGAGTTAGATCAGCGCCCCCTAATAATGCGGATATGCTAGGTTTTTTAAAAACCATGCTACGCCACTGCGATGCTTTCTACAGCATAAAATAAGTTTTCATATTCCATATTTCACGTGATATAGATATTGAATTATAAAACTATTCTTTGTAAAATTATACATGTTACAAATTTAGTTATTGATCGATTTATTTAAAGCTTATCTGCCATAGTTTACAGGAGGGATTAGACCGCCCTACAAGGTCACTGAACAGGTGGTTATCTCATCAACTCAGCTCTCAGTTAACATAAGAAAAAGAGGATCATGGGGGACCAATGGTCACCGATTAAGCATTGTTTGTTATATAGAGGGCGCAAGTAGCTACAAGTAGTGCAGTGGGCCTTTAACGGCTTTAACGAGAAGTCGAATATATTTATTTGGATGTAGTTAAATATGACGAAACCTAATAAAAAAACAATGCTTGTAAAGAATAGGTTCCGTTATATGAGGTTATCGGGAGTATCATCAATAATCTTTTTTTTTCTGTTTCAATTCATCAAATCATCAATAAATCTTGTACAGGAAAAACCCGGGGCAATTATCATATCCGAAAGTCTACCTCACGTCTACAGGCAAAATAAAAAGTACTGTGGTACCTTGAAAAGTTTAAAGAGAATAAACGTTTCTTCTTCTGCTCTATTTCCCAGCTCGGAAGAAGAAAAAAATATCATTGAATGAATGAATGAATCCTGAAAGGGATTGCTTTTTGTAAAGAAGTTTGAATTTTCTATTTTAAAAATAACCACCATGGACCCATTGTGAGTAAATTTATCTCTCAAATCTAACAACTTCAGCCACATAAAATGATCATGTTTTGTGTTGCCCCATCTGTCAATATTTGAGTGCATCATCAAACAATACTTCACTTGGTATGTTTTATTTACAAATTCCGACTGGTAAAAAAGCTTTAAAAAAATTGTACATGATTCAAAATGCAATCAAAATTCAAGAATAGTCTCTAGATACTTCATTATAAGCGATTGTATGACAAATACCAGTACACGTGAGTTTTACCAGGGAGATCTCCCTGGTTGAACTGTTAATTGGGGTCGACCGATGGTCATGAAGATCCATAAAAATTATCAGTAGCATCAAATGACTATAAAAATTACAAAATGGGACTATCAATCGCCTGGTACGCTCGGCAAAAGAGCGTGAGAAGGATTATTTGTCGACCCCCCCCCCCCCCCCCATTTCTCATTGTTAAATAAATCTAAGGTAGGAAGTCTATTTGTCCTGTACGTTATAGACAAAGTTAATATTTCATGTACCTGATAACCTGATAATAATTGCATTAGATTACTATCACTAGAGCTGGAGTAAGACCAAAATTAAATTAATTAAATTAAATTAAATTATTATGCAAATAGGCTCGAGTGGAGGCCGAATTTCAGTAGGTTTTATTTATATTTGTAATAATTTGTATTTGTAATACGGGTCAATAAATTAGAATCTGAATCTGTATCTGAGTCTGAAATGATACCCTTTGCAGTACAAGACTTATTTCTAAGGCTAAATTAATCACATGTTATTTTTCTTTTATTGCTAAATTGTTGAAATCAAAGGAATATCCATGAAGACAAAATAGATGGGCGCAAATATTGTCGGAAAGTTGAAAAAGTGGCCCATTTTGATCATCAGAAAAGAGAAGAAGATCTGCAATCTCTCAACGTGTTGCCAACCTAGGGATTTTTAAAGATTACTTTCCTTTTTTTAAAGTCCCTGGCATCAAGTGCAAAATAGCCATGACACAAAAAGTGAAAGCGGGGTGTGCAGAAATGTTTGCCCTTTCCGAAGCTCATGCATCTGGGGGTGTTTCATAAAGATGTTCGTAAGTTACGCACGACTTTACGCACGACTGGAACATGTTCTTCGGTGCTAATCAGATTCTCAATCATTTACATGTAGCACAAGAACTTATCACCAGTCGTGCGTCAAGTCGTGCGTAACTTACGAACAGCTTTATGAAACACCCCCAGGCTTATTTTTTAAGGCTCTGAATCGTAAGTTATTGAGCAGAGCCAAACCAAAATACGCGAAAGGGTTTATGTTCACCATTACGATATATACTGTGTAAACTAGATGGAATTTCGACTGCGCGCAGTCGAAAATGATGCCTCCGTCATAAAGCAATTTTACAAACCAAAACAGAAGTAATTTTTTTAATTCAAGTTAAATTGTAATCCATTAACAGGTTCTCAGAATGTCGTGATTACAAGCAATCTCTCATATACATATATGACCAGGGGGTGTTTCACAAAGATCCTAAGTAGAACTTAATCACAAATTATGGACAGCCATTGGAGCCTTAAAATGAAATATATTCAAAAGCAGAAATTCAAGTATTTTATATTTTTTTTAATAAATTCCACATCACGAACATGAAATTTCCTTGATGATAGAAAATATGAATGATTTGAATCTACATTTTATGCCTTTCAAAATAACTTTTACAAAATATTTTCAAAGATGCTAACGGCTTTCGAATATTTGTTTGATTAAGCACTCCTATTCACCCGAATCTTCTTTGTAAAAACAACTTTTACAAATCTCAGCCATGCTTACTGAGTTGAGACTTCCTTTCAATGTAAAATACTCATTAAAGAATATACTTCTCCTAATCTGAAAGTGATCTTACAACACAGTGGCAGATTTGCATGGCTGAGATTTGTAAAAGTCAGGACACCAAACGACTACAGTGTACATTACCTGGACTTGCCCGACTTAATCACAGTTGAATTGGCTGTAAAAACCATAAAAATCATTAAATCATCCAATAATTGTTTTTAAGTCACCAAAAAAGGACATAAAATCGTTCATGTGACCCGGCAGTAGAGCGCAAACACAAATTTAGGTAAGACAATCTTCTTCCTTTTCTTAATATTTTTTTTAAAAAGAGCTTTGGAATTTGTCTTACCTCCTCCGTGGGTATAGCACAGGTAGGGAAAGCGCCAGATGTTGCCGAGCCCGACGGCATAGCCGATACAGACCAGCAGGAAATCCAACTTCTTCCCCCACCCCTCTCGGTCAGGTGCGGTCTTCGAATCGAGGGGTTTGACCGCGAGGTCTTTACCGCCGCCGCCCCCGATGGCATCGTCCACTCCGCCTCCCGGCACCACCTTGTAGTCACCCTGGAAGACAATTTAAAAACAAAGGAGACATGGTATTGGTTATCATCCACGATCTCGAAAAAAAAAGTAAAAAGTTGAACACAGATGAAGGAGGGAAATTCTGGTCAATGTTAATTTTTAAATCCCGTCTGCACTAGTTTGGTCAGGGGGATTAGACCACACAGCGAGGTCACTGACAGGTGGCTATCTCATTAACTCAGCTCTCAACTAACGTAAGAAAAAGAGGATCATGGGGGACCAACAGGCACCGATTGGGGAAGTTTTCTATATAGAGGGACTCGGGAGCAAGTAGCTACAAGTAGGACAGTGGGGCTTTAAACAAAAGCGACTTGGTATCATCCGCGATCTCGAAAAAGAGAATGGTTGATTATAACATGGAGGGGCGAAATTCTGGTCGATGTTAATTTTTAAGTCCCGTCTGCACTAGGGGTATTAGACCTCCCTGCAAGGTCACTGACAGGTGGTTATCTCATCAAATCAGCCCTCAATTAACAGAAAGAAAAAGGGATCATGGGGGGACCAACAGGCACCGATAAGCCATTGTTTGATGTATAGATGGCGCAAGTAACTATAAGTAGAGCAGTGGGGCTTTAAAGGTATTACAAATTTTTGGTAATTTTTGAAAATTGGCTGGATAGTGATTCTTTACAATGTTGATATATTCGGATGCCCCTATGGATGTATTATAAGCACTAAAAAAATTGGCCCCTAAAACACTTCTGCTTTCGAGAAAAATTGAATATAAAAATTTACCGGTGCTCCCGGTAAATTTTGATAAATTTCATATAGCGCCTACGGCCAATACGATGGTAGCTGCGACCATGAAAATCTCAGAATATGCAGTTGTGATATATATATTTCAAATGGTAATAGCAAATTTTTATAGCTAAATCAATATCTAGACCTTGAGAGGGCGCTATACAACATAAAGAGTTTATTATTTACAATTTATTTACAATTTCATCACTTTAGACTCGATTTCAACTGCGACAACGATTACTGAATATTGTAGGATCGATATGCTTCCAATATGTGCATTTGAACCAAATTCATGACCCCATACCAAAACTTTGTATTACCTTTAAAGTGCAAGAATTCATATCCCGTCAATCAGTAGTTGAAATATTGAAATCTTTATTTAACAAAATTATATTTTGGGGTGGGGTTATTTCTAAGTATCAGTTATTATCAACATATCATTCTTTACCGCACTCTTTTTCGCAGAGATACGTTTGAATTTGTTGTGTCTAATATCATCAGCGTTAAGTTTGTTTTGTTCACCGAAAAACTCTTGATCTCATAAATTGAAATGATCGATTCAGCCGTTCTACAAAAAAAAAAAAAAAGGGGGGGGGTGTGTAATTCAATATCACTTTACTTTTAAACTAACCTTTTCACTCATGGCGGAGATTGCCTCGCTTGATGTTAAAACTTGTGATGGAAGGTATTGGTCTTCAAGCTTTATTGTTCTGAAATGACAAAAAACAGAAATAGACATACATTATCCTGATCATTAAAGTATATACAGCCAAACCAATTTTAGTGACCACCTGTCTATAAAGACCACCTGTCTACGAAAACAGCATTTTTTGTTTCCCTTGAAAATGGTTTTGTCATTCAATCATGTATTAAAGGAACCTGTCTACATAGACCTCTTTTTGTGTTTCCCTTGGGCGGTCGCTATAGACAGGTTTGACTGTACAATGTATTTCGGAACCATTGCTCCCATTTCTTTCTCTCCATCACAAACATCTCTCCTACTTCTCTCTATCTCTCTTTTTCCCATCCTTCCATCCTCGAAAGGCGCAAGAATTTAGTAATTATGCCTTACCACACTGTCACCAGTTGCTAGATCGATTGCAATTAACTCATATTAAATTTAATACAACATGTTTAACCGCGTAAAACTGTCAAACTCGTTGAGAAATTTGTGTTGATGTTCTGTCTGATGATTAGAGCATATTCACGTATTTTTCTTTTCCCGTCGTCATCCCTAAACTCGAGAGGTGTCTGTGAAAAACGCAAATTAAAACTACTTTTCGTTACATAAATTAATATTCCGATGTACGCAAAGAACATAAAGAATATATCTAGCGGTTGCCATGCTCACCGGATGTAACTCGTTCAAGTAATGAGTAATTACGGTTAGTAAAAACTAAATTATACAAAACCAGCTTTCCCACAGACATTGTTCAGATTTACTTCACACGCAATATGCACATCAGTAATTTTGCCGCTCCTTGTTATTAAGGACTCAAGGTAATTAAAAAGTATTCCCATTCTTTTTTTTCTTCATTTGTTTTTCTTTTAGAATAAGCTGCTTTAGAGTGCGTCCGGACTGAATTATTCATATAGTCTGAATTATCCACGAATTAGTTTTTCTTCCTTCTCAAAACACTGAATGAAAAAGTAAATCAATTTATTCTGCGTGGGGCGCAAAGACATCTTTCCGCAAAAGAGGGATCAGGACAAAGTTCAGAATATGATAAATGATATTAAAGATGAAGTTGGGTTCTGGAGTGCGATTGCATTGTGAAAGAAACGATGTGGAAACGACTAGAAAAGGTTGATCATCTAGCATATAAGAATGTGTGTGTATTGCAAGGTTCTGGAATCATCAAAATGATAAGAAATTTGGCCAAGTCTTAGTAAACACTGTACACAGAAAGATGTATATGGGACTACACGAAAACGTGGCGTAAAAATCCTACCCGGTTTTCATTTTTACGATGTTACATGACATATTTCGAATATGAAGGCATTTGAAGAGCCATGCTTTTCAGGAAACATGTCTTATCTGATGTTCTTCCACACTTGCATAATAAGAATGATAACGCTCACAAATTATTTTTCACCTCTTCCCAGAACTCAACCTTCTCTTTAAAAGTGCATAATATCCCGATCCCGACATCCCTATTTCACATACAAGACGTTGGATATGTTATTAAGCACCATAGAAGGATGCACCACAGCAATTTGTCTCTGCCAATACTGAAGAGTGAAGACCGAGATTAAACTTACTCTATCTGAGCCAATCCCTTGCCGGGACCATGGCCTTTATCTTCCTGGGCTACTGCATAGACCAGAAGTCCTGCATAGCCCCTGGGCAAGCCTATCTCGACTAAATCATCCTTGGATGCCAGCCTCAGACTCCTCATCGAGTCGTACCCGTGTCTCGACAACCGGTTCCGACAGTCCTCCAGGTCGGCATTGACCAGGAGGTCTTCGACCGACTTGGAGATCTGTGGCTTGATCGAGCTGGTGATCGACGGCGCGATCGAGACGTCGGGGTATTGGGGTAGGTACGAGTCCGGTAGGGATGAGGACACGCTGATGAGGTCAGCGGCAGACAATCGTGACTTCCTCGACGGCGATACCTTGAGTCTTTCCTCGTCCTCGATATCGATGGGGATTGGGTTGACCACGCCCATGTTGTCTTCGGGGAGTTCGACGTCGTCCGTATCGGTGGATACGACCACCTCCATGCTGTAGTTGATCATCGTGTCAAGCAGTCCTTAAGTATATACTGTTCTGTGGGAATTGAGATGATGATGTTACCGGCTATTTAACCCTCAGATCATCCAGCGCGACGGTTATACAGATCCAAGATCGTGATTCCTCACAGCTTCATACAGCAGTCAAGTTCCGAATATCAACCTCTGATCATGAAGACTTGTGGTTAAAGAGGCCCTATGGGGATTTCTTAGTTTCACACAGCATTGGAAAATATTTCATTCAAGTGAGCAAAACGTTAATCCTCAAATCACCCAACAATTAAATTTTGAAGTCAAGATTCCATAACAGGTTCACACAGCAGTCGAAAAGTTGCCAAACGTCAACCATCTGATCATCAAGCTCGATGATCGGGAGGATTTCTTGCAGTTTCAAAAAGCAGTCAATAAATGGAACCTTTGACCAGGGCATGTAAAGTCTCACCTCCCTGCTTTGACCCTCAGATCGTCCAGCAGTTAAGATATCCCAAAGACAGCAGTTCTTTACAGTTTAATACAGGGAGTCGGAATAGTGCAGCATTGAGATTCCCTCTCCCTCTCTGTATATAGTTCTGTGCACCAAGATGTATTATCAGAACGAATAATATCCTCCCTTGCGAAGCACTATATCCTTCCAAGAATTCAAAGGATTCCCTTTGAACCTTTACAATTCCTAAGGGAGGTCTATAAATGGGGTTTTGAGCGGTTCAATGCAAACAGAAGTGCAGGGCTGGAGGTGGACGATTCAAGTCCTTTGTCCGTGTTCTTCAACCATACCGAATGCAAGTAATATTCCTATATTCTTCAAATGGTCATCATTACTCCAGATATATAAAGAGGAGTTAAGTGGTCAATATCCCATCATCCAGCTTTATTGACGGAACATATTCCTAGACTCTTACCAGTCGCCCGCTCCCTCTAAAACCCTTCTCCCGCGCAGAGAGTGAATTTTCTGTAACACGTGTATTTTTTGTTTCATGCCCCTTTATTCTTTAATCAAGGAACACTACGGAACACGCCTTGCAATGTGTCATTTGACGATTTAATTCTCTCCCATATACGCCTTGCATGTATGGAAGATGATTCATAAATCGGTGAGCATAATTTACAAGCGTGGGTTTATTTTAAAGCGGGAAGTAATAAGTTAAAAGCGACTGTCTCGTTTGTCATCAGAGTCTACAGGCGTGCCATCCATGGTGCTTGACACGGAATAATAATAATCAATACGAAAGAGTGCTCTTCAACAAAATCTGAAATATTGGAATCATTACGTAACAACATACGGTCGATAAATACACACTAAGTGCTAAATTATGCACTTAAATAAATACATATTTTACATGCACGTCTGTCGTACATTCTCGAGTACACACGCACAGTATTTTTAAAGTGTTTACAATTATGCAAGAAATGTGTTATGATTATCTATGATATTACAAAACGGTCCCACCTAGAGGTGCAATTTTTTTCAACAGCAAATTCCATTTAAATAAAGGCAAAGAAAGTTAAAAAGTTAATATTTCACAAACATTGTGAATGGATTAACAAAACAAGTGTCACCGCCTTTTTAAAATAATGTGTAGTAATTATGTTAAACTCAACAAGAAGACAATTAAGGTAATAATATTCATGAATGAAAGAGTACAACTTAATTTTCATCTAGTTGAATATCTGTATACTCTTCTGTATTATTTTATATTAATTTTGTCCTGTTGTTCTTCAGTCGTCTATTTTCATTATACCGATATTGACAAACTTAAATATTTCTAATGTTCATACTTTTGTACTTTTAATACATTTTAATTAATTTCATCCCAACGGCTGCTAATTTTCTCATTTTTTAACACTAGTTTTGGTTTCGTGTTCTTTTATCAATAAACGTTATAAATTCAATCAAAAGCATGTTCCTCTCTATAATAATAATAATAATAATAATAATAGGCATTTCTATAGCGCCGTCCATCTAGATAATTCTATTCCGAGGCATATACCCCGGCTTTAGCCTAGCTGCCGTTTATACAGCGCTCCAGCATTTCAAGGAATTAATTCCTGCCAGGTACCCATTTACATCACCTGGGTTGAGTGTGGCAAATGTAGATCAATTGTCTTAACTCATTCCCTGCGATATATACAGTGCTCTTGTTTCTATTCGACTCTACAGTACACTACAAAACTCTTCAGATCGGATGAGCAGGATACATGTACTTCTTATGTAAAACGTATTAAGTGAGTGTATTTATTCCTTGCCAATCCGCTATAAACAGGGACATTGTTATATACTCGATCGCTTGCCTTTGTCGTCCAACGATGATTTATTCACTCAAGCTCAACTCATCGTCTGTTTAACGAAACAGTGCGAAACACATAACAATTGTGCTCACGCCTCAGCTATATTAACACGATAGAAATCGATACGTCACATCTGTACAATAAAATTTGGTTATAGACTGCGGATTTAACAGACTGTTCAAGAGGGGGGGGGGGGGGGGGGGGGGGGGGGAGGGGGGGGGGGGGGGGGGGGGGGGGGGGGGGGGGGGGGGGGGGGGGGGGGGGGGGGGGTGTGGGGGGGGGGGGGGGGGGGGGGGTAAAAGCCGTACTTTGGAGCTTAAAGGGATCGTTTAACAATGTTAAATCTGAGATACACGGCCCTACGTGCTATCAGTGTCTGTGATATGGTGTAATATTGAAGCCCTAAAAAAATTGCGCTTCAAAATGATCAAGAAATGCCTCAAAAAAGTAAAAAAAATCTTTGAGTGACCGTTTTACCATACTCGTTTTCCCCAGTAGACTGTAGTGTTATGAAAACCGTCAGGCGAAACGGTTTTCAAAATTTGTAATTCCAATCATAAATATCTTGATAATCAGACAGGCGATCGGATTGTAAAAGTCATGGGGTTCCTGACTGACCTAAAGGTCTATAATTATCATTGCATCATGAGCTAAATCCAGAATTTTGTTTCAGAATCTGAGACAAAGTTACCGGATCCCTTGAGGACGTGCAAACATTCCTTCCCCCTTTCTGGTACAATATTTGTCTTATTATTCCCCGTAAAACATTTTTCATATATTTGCAGATTATGAACGAAGAATGTCTTCCAATCATTCCGTACTTTGGAGTTTAAGAAGACGTGCAAATATTTCTTCCCCCTTTTCAAGTACAATATTTGTCTTGTTTCCCGTAAAACTTTTTTCATATAATTATTTGCACATTTTGCAGATTATATACGAAAAATATCTTCCAATCATTCCGTGCAAACATGAAAGAAAACATGAAAAACATGTAAGCCGTGCTGGATCTGAGTTTTCTTTAAAACTTGGACCGTTTAATACTTTAATTAACTTTTTAAAATTTTAATTACTATCCCTCTCTTTCTTACTCTCCTGTCTTTTTACTCTTCCTGTATGAATATTTCCATGTCTCTATCTTTCTAATTTATTTCTCCTTTTCTTTCTTCGACTACTTTTCCTTTTTATTCTTCATTTTCTCCTTCTCTTCCACCTCTTCCATGTCTTCTTCTTCCTCCTTTCCGGTCTCCTTCTCTTCTCTTTCTCTTTACATTTCTCCTTGGCTCTTTCTCTTTCTTTTCTCCTCCTCCCTCCACTCCTTCCAGTTTTTTCCCTCTCTTTCTCTTTTCATTATATTCCTCTCATTTATTATAAATTACCTTTAATCATTTATTCATCAGCATTTATTTATATCCTTTTCTTTTTATTGTATTTATTTATTTTCTTTATTTTTTGAGGGAGGGGTTTCAATAATTCAACACGCGCAGCTGCTCAAAGCCATACAAAATACATGTGCATATTATATTCCCGCCTAATACCGTCACACTTACATACTACAGAAGATAACATGTAGAGTCTATGGTGAAAGATCCCATCTGGCTAAATTAGTACAACAAAGCAGAACAGACCAATAAATAATCTATGTAAATGGACAATATGTTGGTTCAATAATAATTATCCTCTTCTTCCTCTCATTATCATGATCATCATTATAATATTAATTAAAAAAGTAATAAAGTATCAGTGAAGCAGTGACATTATGTACATGAACAGATTCGTAATCAGGTTTTAGCCGACCCGGTTCGAATTGGACTGACTGTGGTGAATATTGCGTCGTTGCGCGAATGCAAAACAAAAGAATATGATTGATATACCATTTCAAGCCCAACCGAAACTGGGACCGAAACCAAGGCGGCCAACCTCTTTTATAGAATATATGGCTCTGTACATCATTATTAAGAGCGCCATCACGAGTTTGTTTATAGCCAGTACCCAGGGTACGCAGGGAGCGCGAAGATCTGGGATTTTGTTATTATTCTTCTTGTTGATGTTTTGTTTAATCTTAAAAGGTAGGTTGAAAATTATTGCTTGTCACGTTGTTGACATAGCCTTGAAAACGTAATGTGATCGTAATGTTGATCAAGCAATCGAACTATAAAGGGTTTTTAAGTACAAGGGCACTTCGTTAAACAACTATAATAAATTGGAGGAATGGTTTTGTTGACAGTCGATAGTTCATTGAATACTAGACCATGGTTTATTGCAAATAAAATGATCCTGTGCACCTTAATCCGAACTTTGAAATCAGTGCTAATATCGGTTGGTAGATTGGATAGTATCATCTTCTAATTCTGTTCATAAATCAGGCTTAATCCTCTCTGCCAACATACACAAAATGTTTTGTATAGTGTAATAAGTTTATTCATTTTCGATCGTTTTTTTTCTCCAATAAATTTGTTTCTTTGATGTTTCTATGTAAGTAGATTCGTTTGATTGTTAAGAGTGCGACTCTAACAAAAATATGCTCTTTCCACATTCCTAAAGGTAGCCCAATGTGCCCTCTAACCTAAATCTGACATGGCGCATTTCAACATGAAATAATGGCCTATAATATGAGTGTGACGTGTCTTTTCAAAGCTCCAGAAATATATTGCGGGGGTGCTATGAGAAACAGAATTACGATTTATTGAATGCATGGCTATTGAAAATGAAATATTGAAAGAGCATAATGATTAACCTTCCCATATGGTGTTTACATTTTCAGCCTTCGTATCGTTTACTGTGGGTTATTTTTTTAATTCATTTATTAAAAGCTGATTATTGATGGAATCTTTCGCGAACAGATGGCCGAATTGCATTCGTTTACCTTCAGAATAGACAAAATTGGATATAATGTTAATTATTACTAGTTTACTACGAAAATGCAATATTTTGAGTATTATGAGGGTAGACGACAAGTCATAATCCAGGCCATCAATAAAGCCAAATCATGTTAATGAGCGCATATCAACCAATGTCCAGAGCACACCACGTGCAGCTGAAATAGCTCATAACGTGTCGGTAGCCTTCGTATCGTTTACTGTGCATGGTTGTTTTTTAAATTCATTTATTTAAAGCCGTTTATTGATGAAATCTTTCGCGAACAGATGGCCGAATTGCATTCGTTTACAATCAGAATAGACAAAAATTGAATAATATGTTAATTATTACTACGAAAATGCAATATTTTGAGTACATATGAGGGTAGACGACAAGTCATAATCCAGGCCATCAATAAAGGCATATCGTGTTAACGATGCAATGTAGTAGGCTAAGGCATCAGGGCCACAATATGCATAGCAACAGCTTGTGACGAATTCCAGCAAATTCGACAGTAGTGTTGTAACCAAACGCCTCACTGTGAAAAGTAATGTTGTATAACTTCATAACACGGGGTCTTCTCCTGGGAATATTTCTGAATACAGTAGACCCAAAAGTTGTCAATTTTATGAACAGA